TATGTGTATTATGGCCACATGTTATAGTACATGAAGGATACTTTTCTATTTTATACTCAATTTACTATTTCAAAGCTGATATTCAAGTTACTTGATTTACATGATATGTGTTGTAATCAAATTACACGCTACCAAAATTATTTCTTGAGTACATTTGTATTAGATTCTTACTATATATTTTAGAAAAAAATAGTTTATAAAAGCATTTTTTTTTATGACTGGAACTTGGCAGACCATAGCAGAAATGCATACATTTCACAACAATCTAATCATTAAAACAAGAGGTTAATAATACAATCAGTTACTTTACAAATTTATTACACAACAAAATTACATAACTCTATTCTAAATTACTCTCATAGAAACCACCTTTCTCTTTGCTTTTTTTTTAAAAAGAACTGATATCTTACGTTTAAAATATTAATACTAAAATGGTTGTCGTTTTATTAGCATAACCTTTGGCCATATATTCTGATGAAGAATCTATTGTAATTAGGGTATGACGGGTATAAATTTACTAAACTGAGGTAAATCTTGACTAGCGATCCTTTTTCACCACATAGAACATATATCTTTCTGTCTGTGTTAACCTTCATGTATACCTACAAAATTTTGTTTTCATACAACAGATTATAAAATGATATCCCTCAACACAAATAGTTGCAGTTCCATTGTAAGTTTACCCATATGGTGCCTTTAATGTTTTCGCTGAAAAGAACAGAGATTTTTATATCTTGGCTAGGATCTCAGTAGTTACATTATAAATCTAAATTATAATGTACAGAACATAAAAATGTGAAGCAATAAATATATCTTATTATATAAACTCCAATGGTTAAACATTAATGAGACAAAGGGATAGATTCCAAACGGAAATAACCAATTTTGCTTTTATTAAAATTATAGCATTGATTTATACATAGATATAATTTTTTTTTATCACAAATGAATCACCTGCTAAAGGATCAGCATAATTATTTTTTTCGTCGAGTTCACTTAACACCAAAATTAAGATAATCTAATGAAATTTACAATGAAGTCATTATTAATGAATGATTCAATGAATATATGCTATGTAGATATAAATTTTATTACAATTTTCTTTTACTATTAGGAAGTGGTATCATTTATCTGCTCGTGTTAGGGTCTTTAAAATCATTTCGTGTGTTGTACACAGAGATGTTGGATCATTTCTCGGCAGGGTCTGGAAATACAGCTTGGATAGGAAGCATAACCTGGTTTCTATTACAGGTCCTTGGTTCGTTAATATTTGTCTAAATATCATAATTCTTACATGTTGACTGAGATACAATGTTTGACAATTCCATTCTTTTTCATTTTCTTTGCAAGATCTAAAATGAAAGAAAGAGATATTTAAAAAATTGACAAAGGGATACGTGTTAATTATTCGAAATATCCAAGAACATATCAGACTATATGAAATAACTGCCTATAAAATGCTTAGTCCTTACATTTTCAAATCTGTTGTTCAGCACCATTGGCAAGTTTTCTGTGCAGAAGATACTCCTTCCGATCGGTTTCGCTTGTTGGTGGTATAATGGTCGGATGTGGTTATTTCCTCTCCGGATTTGTAACTCGAATTGAGCTTATGTACTTAACATTTACAATTGTTGGTATGTTCAAGATATATTTGCTTTATAAGAACATAGCGCGAATGTAGTAATGATTCTGTTAATGGCAAGATTTTATTCCTTTTAATTCACAATAAATGTACTTGATATTGACAATACTAGCCTTAGCATTAAGAATATGCCGTGTATATCTAAAGCTGTCAATGAAATTTTGTAATGCTACAGGTATCGTTACACTGAATTTCGACAGCTTGCGGATTGTTTAATACATACATTTAGGGCGCATTTTACGAATATTAGCGATAAAACTCGCTTTTTTGATTTCACGTCCCAATAAGATACTGTCACACTGAGCTGCGACACCTCGCAGTTATTTGAAATACAAATTTTGGACACATTTTGCGAATTTTAGCGGCAAAACTCAATCTGGATTTCGCGTCCTTATATCAACGACATGAATGCGTATGTCGCCCAAATGTTTCACGAATGTCGCACGCATTTCCTGCAAAATATCTCATAAAGTTTTCAAACATGTCGTGAGAATATCGCACGACTATCTCACGAGACCGTTTGTCACCTGCTTTGCCTGTTTGCGAAATTTTTGTACTTGCAAAATACGCGCTAATGTTTTGCGAAAATCGTACGAAAGTTACAAAATGCAATAAAGAAATGAGAAAAGTCAGACGAAAATAAAAGCAAACTCGAATTTCAGCGGTCAGAAATCATTTGAGATGGCTCAACCATTGGATGAGAACCCTAAATTGGTTACAGACGACAATGCCATGCTGAAGGCTGCAGTATGTTTCATTGCTGCTACTGCGGTCCAAAATGCCACGATAAAAGCCAGAGAGCAAAGAAAAAGATCAAGAAATGGAGGAGTGAACTGGTGAGAGATTGTCTTTTGATGGGAGCTAACTATGGGATGTACGAGAAGCTAATGAAGTATCTAAGAGAAAGTGATGAAAATACTTTCAAGAACTTTGTTAAAGGTGACCGGATTCATTCAGCATAAACGTAGAAGAGACGTGATAGACTCCAACTATTTCAAATGCTAATGTTGGCATCAATAGTGCTCACTATGATGCTGGAGTGTTTTGTGAGTGCGGCATACTCTAAGTCTGGCTCAGTTATTTCTTTGTGGGACCTTGGGGCTGGTAGAGTGTTTATTTTTCATCGGCGTGGCATATTGGAAGTACAACTGTTGCTCGGACAAATATCAGTTTAAGATTAAAGTGTTAGTTGTAGAAGTAGCTTGTGTTTAACGGGGCTCCATCCGCACGTAAAGCGACAGAAACAGCTTTTGTTATCGGGGTTGTGTTCAGATTCCCTTTAAGGCTTATTTTGAAGTACAAAGTGGTGATTATTGAACTCTAAGAAAAATTCCTTAAGGTATTAGCCACAGAGTTGAATTTTAAGACGAAAGTAGTAGGTCAATGAACATCTTAACGTACAGTTACCCGAGACAATATGAAAAGTTGAAGTCATGATAAGGACGTTGACCAGTGCCTACCAAAGAGTCTGCTTTTTAGCCGTTACCGCGTACTAGTTGCGGTAGGTAGGAAGGTTTTGGCTGGGTAGGTGGCTGGGTAGGTATGTAGGTAGGGGTATGTAGGTAGGTATGGGTAGGTAGGTAGGTAGGTAAGTAGATCGGTAGGTAGGTACTTACGTACGTAGGTAGGTAGGTAAGTTGGTACGTACATACCAACGTACGTACGTAAGTATGTTTGTATCCGCCGTTACAGGCACTAAGAGTACAGACCCCGGACAAGTGGCCATTTATATCCTTAAAGATTATAATCTGCCTTTCATTTTGAATTCATTAATTCTCTGAATGGTACGTTAGACGATTTTTGTTGATGTTTACCATTTTGGTGTAGAGGTCAATGAGACAATAATATGAATTATGAAGAAAAATAATTTGTTGTTGCCAAAATTAATGATCACATATTTCGGCCTGGCTTGATTGATTGATAAGGTTATGTAACTCGGATTGGTACCTGACATAAGTATTAGGTAAGACAAATTCTAAATAAAACTTTAGCAAAATAATTGTGAACTAGTTCCCTTTATCATTTTGTTATTAATGAAGATAGCCTAAACCATTGAAATATAAATAATATTATATAAAAAGGTAAATGTCAGCAAATGATATAAAACAGCTGATTTTATTTTGTTTTGCATTTCCATTTAAGGTATCTTTAATCAAACGGGGGCTTGTCTGCATTCTATATCATTCTTCACAGATCAATTGAGGTTTCCTCATGTGACTGTATTTGTTTGGGGCCAAATGCCATCCATATTCTCAAGAATATATTTCTAACTGAGCTGTAAAGAAACCGACTGTATTTCTTTAAACGGTTTTGGTTTGTTTAACATTTTTAGGAACTTGGTTGATATGGAACAGGGCTTTACTTAACTTCATATTTAGGTATTTTTAAGGGCCTTAAAGTGTCCATCTTAATATCATATATTATCTGCAGGCTTAATTCGTGGAAACAACAAAGAGATCGGTTTAATATGGTTTCGCGATCTATGCGATGAATTTGTAAATACATTAAGAGAAATTAAGTCGCAGAAATGTTTTCAATATGTTGAAAATTCAAGCGACAAGAAAACGAAGGCATGCGAATCGTGCGACAAAATTGAGAACTTTTAAAATAATTTTGAAACTATATCGCGTATGCCGTTCACACGTTTGTCACTCACATTCGCAGCACAGAGTGGCAGGGGCTTATACCAATGACATGGAAGCGTATTAGTACTGTCATAATGAACTGCGACACAAATTTAAGGCACATTTCGCGAATTTTAGCGACAAGACCCGATCGGGGTTTCACGTCCTTATATAAACGACATAAATGCGTATGTCGCCAGAATTGTGCGCGAATGTAGCATGTATTTTCTGCGAAATATCTCATATGGTTCTCAAATAAGTCGCAAGAATATCGCACGACTTTTGCACAATACCTTGTGTCATCTATTTTGCATGAAAATATGCAATATTTCTGTACTTGCTAAATGCGTGTGGAATCTGTGCGAAAATCGCACGACATTTAATAAATGCAATAAAGAAATGGCAAAAATAAAAGCAAACACGAATTTCAGTGGTCAGACATTATTTGAGATGGATCAACGATTGGATGAGAACCCTAATTTGGTTGCAGACGTCAATACCAGGCTTAAGGCTGCAGGATCTCTCATTGCTGCTGCTGCGGTCCAAGGAGCCGCGACAAAAGCCAGAGAGCGGAGAAAATGAAAATCAAGAAATGGAGGAGTGTATGGCTGAGCGAATTGCTTTCGATGGGACCTAAGTATGCGATATACGAGAAGTTATTTAAGCACCACATAGAAAGTGATGTAAATACTTTCATGAACTTTGTTATAGTTGACCCGGTGTCATAAGGCACAATGGTGGAAAATATTAGGCTCGAAAAATCAAAAGAGAGAATCAAGCTTCATCTGTCCACAAAATTGAAGCTTGCCATCACGCCCATGTATCACTGGGAATTTGGAATTCGTACATGTCATGTTGGTGCAGTGTGGCCCACAAAACCGTCGGTCAGCATTCTAATTTCCAAAAACAGAAGAGAAGTGGAAGAAGAATGTGGAGGGTTTCTCAGAGCAATGGAACTTCCATCACAGCTTTGGCAGAATGGATTGCAAATATTTAAGGATACAAGCCCCACCGAGGTCAAACAGCGTCTTCTACGACTACAAAGAGGCTTGGTAGACTCATATATATTAATTTTGGCATCTATGGTGCTGACTATGATGCTGGAGTGTTTTGTGAGTGTGGCATAATCTGAGACTGACTCCGTTATTTCTATGTTGGACTGTCAGGTACACAACTCGGTCACCAGTCATTCCATTGGCTTATTTTGAAGTATAAAGTGGTGATTATTGAATTCCGTGAATTTTAAAAATATAAAAAAGTATTACAGATGAATTAAAAGCCGAAAGTAGTAGGTCAATGAACACCTAAACGTACAGGAACTCGAGACTTTATGAAAAGAATTTATGTATGTATGTATCTGCCGTTACAGGCACTTAGAGAACAGACCCCGGACAAGTCGCCATTTATGTCCTTAAAAATAATAATCTGCCAATACGCAGCCTCATTAATTCTCTGAATGGTACGTAAGTCGGTTTAAATTGACGTTTACTATTTTGATGAAAGGGAAGCCAATGAGACCATCATATTAATCATGAAAAAAATAATGCATTGCTGCCAAAATAAATAATCATATTTTTTGGATGGGCTTGAGGCTGGCTCAAATGACTGTATTTGTAAGTTTGGGACCAAGACCCGTCCATATTCTAAAGAATATGTCTCATATGGGGTTTTGAAAAAAGACTGTATTTCTATTAATGGATTTACCTTTTCAAACTTTCTACTTGAATAATGTTGAATCACCCTTAGGATATGTTGCCTGCTTTTTAAATTTGTCTTTTGACGTTTTATCTGTGATACGCAGGCTTCATAACCTCCGATCCCCTTTCAAAATTCTATTTTATTTAGTTCCGCCCATTGTTTTCTCGTTTAGGGCACACACTTTTTATCACTTGGGGACCATACGCCGCTTTTCATGGAATGGCACGGAAGTGTCACATTGAAGGTTCCATGATAACCGCCGAATGAACACATCTGCGGATGTTTCTTAATTCAAAATTTTACCATTTCATGTTTAAATGTTGAATTCTGCTTAAGCCGGTGCTAGGGGGCGTGGACGGTAACTTGCACTTTCCAGTACCGTCCATGAACAGGCTCAATCAAACCGAGCCTGCAACATTTTCAGTTTTGCCGTGTTGGGCTTTCTTTAGGGATTCTGTATTTATCTATTTTTGTGTCGCCTTAAAAAGGTGACATATAGGGGTTACTTTTGTCGGCGGCGTCGGCGGCGGCGTCTGTGTCGGCGTCGTTGTCGGCGTCGTTGCCTAATTTTTGAGTTATTGCCCTTTGTTAATTTTCATACTTTATTTTTGTCCGGGCCATTTCTCCTAATGTATAAAAGCCATGGACTTGAAACTTCATAGGATGATAGGTCTCATTAAGAAGAAGTGCAGTGCACAAGAACAGGTACTCTGCATTTCTTATTTTTTGAGTTATTGCCCTTTGTTTATTTTCATACTTTAATTTTGTCGGGGCCATTTCTCCTTAAGTATAAAAGCTATGGACTTGAAACTTCATAGGATGATAGATCTCATTAAGAAGAAGTGCAGTGCACAAGAATCGGTACTCTGCATTTCTTAATTTTTGAGTTATGGCCCTTTGTTTAATTTTCATACTTAATTTTTGTCCAGGCCATTTCTCCGAAAGTATAAAAAGTTATGGACTTGAAACTTCATAGGATGATAGATCTCATTAAGAAAAAAGTGCAGTGCATAAGAACTGATACTCTGCATTTCTTATTTTTTTGAGTTATTGCCCTTTGTTGATTTCTTACTTTATTTTTGTCCTGGTCATTTCTCCTCAAGTATGAAAGCTATGGACTTGAAACATCATAGAATGATATATCTTATTGATAAGAAGTGCAGTGCACAGATATGCTGCTCTGCACTTATTATTTTTTTAGTTATTGCCCTTTGTTATTTTTCATATTTCATTTTTGTCCTGGCCATTTCTCCTAAACTACATTGTTCACAAGGCGACACATCCGACTCGCGGAGTTCTAGTTTAAGAAATTGGCTGATATGGGAAAGGTTTTTATTTCACTTCGTTTTTAGGCAATCTTAAAGGCTTAAAAGTGTCCAACTTTATATTATCTGCTGGCTTAATTTGTAGAACCACAATGAGAACGGTTTGTGATGGGTTCGCGATCTATGCGATGATTTTGTGAATACATTGAGAGAAATTTAGTCGCACGATTTTTTCAACATGTTGGAAATTCAAGCGACAAGATAACGAAGACTTACGACTCGTGCGACGAAATTAAGAGCTTTCGAAACATTTTTTGAAACTATCCCGCGAATGCCGTTCGCAAGTGTGTCGCTCAAATTCGCAGCCCAGTGTGACTGGGGTTTATGCCCCCCCTCCCCCCGAATATTGGAACGCATTTCCACCAAAATATCTATTAAAGATCACAAATATGTCGCGAGAATATCGCACGACCACCGCAGACATCTTTTGTTATTTGTTTTTATGATTGAGAAATTTTTGTTATTTCGGAAAACTCGCAACAAATCATGCAAAAATCGCAAGACAATAACAAATAAAAAAATCAGAAAAAATAAAAGCAAACTTGAATTTTAGCGGTTAGACACCTTTAGAAATGTATCAAGTATTGGGTGAAGACCCGTCTTTGCTGCAGGCAACAATGTCATGCTTAAGGTTGCAAGATGTCTCATTGCTGCTGGTGCGGTCCCAAAAGCCATGACACAGAGCGAAGAAAAAGATAAAGAAATGGAGGATTGAATGGGTGAGAGAATGGTTTTGATGACTTTTAAGTGTGGGATGTACAACAAGCTAATGAATCACCTAAGAAAAAGTGATAACGTTCTCCCGGAGTCAATCAACATCATGGTGGAAGATTTTGACCCTTTTCATCAAAAGAGAGAAATTAACGTAAGCTGTCCACCCGACTTAAGCTTGCCTTCATGCACATTTACTCGTACCTTGCCACTGGCAATACGCACACATCGTTGTCATGTGGGATATGAGTAGCGTACAACAACGTCTCAAAAGTTGAGCGAGAGGTATGTCCGGTCATATTTGATCAAGATCAGCATCAAATGCAAACATGTAAGGGTACAAAATCTGCCGAGGTAAGACAGTGTCTACAACGACAACAAAGCAGGAGTTAATTGCCGTGTGGCAGTCGTAAAAAGTGTCCCGTATTTCACTTTATTGTTGCTTCATTTTCTGGTCCTTCGGGATCATTGAGTCCCGCAATATTGAGTATTGAGAATTAAGTATCGCTCAAGCCGGTGATAGGGGCGTGAGGATTGTTAAACTTTTTTAATTATCCCTCGTGTACAGACATCATAAAATTGAGTCTGCAATATTGGTGTATTTTTGCTGTTTTTAATGCTTCCGAGGGATCACTTTCTTTCCAGTTTTTTTTACTTGATTATCTTGGTGGCTCTGGTAGACACCAACTACAAGTTTATGTGCTATTATTGTTGCCATTTATGGTTGAGACTATGATGTTGTTGTGTTTCTAGAATGCGGCATACTCGGAGCCTGGCTCCATTATTTATGTGGAGAGCCTCTCAGGTAGATATTTTGATATTTACATTGTCATGGCATATTGAAATTTCAACAGCTTCTCTGAAAGATGTCGGGTACAGATTTTAGCGCGAAAGTGGAAGTTTGTGTTTATCTAGGGTCTAACCGCCCGTTACGCCATAAAAAGCTTTCCTGTTGGACTTCTATACCAAATATGTCACAAATTGATGACTATTTACTTCCGTGCAATAACTACAGCGTCCTAGCCGTGAGTTATTAGACGAAGTAAAAAAAAATACAAGAATAAAAATCAACAAAACAAAGGCAACGTTCACAGGAGGCAGCATCCGACACACCGTAGGAGGGAATCCAGAGGGCACCAAACCAAAACCGGGAGTGGATACAGTAAGTCACTGTAAAGCTGTCAACGAACACCTTAACGTACAGTAACCTGATACCATATGAAAAGTTGAGGTCGCTATGATAGTCCTTAGGTTGGAAAGTAGCCATGATAAAGACGCTTGTGCCAACCAAATAGTCTGTCTTGGTCAGCCGTACTAAGGGCCTACGCACAATCATATCTCCCTCCTTGCCATATGTATGGATGAAAGCATTTTATAATGTATATGCATGCATGGGTGTCTGTGCGTGACAGCAAATTATTTTTTTAAATTTTATTTTGGCATTCCACTGAAGGCAGCGTTAGTCAAACGGGAACATGTCTCCATTTTATATCTTTATCATTCTTTACAAATATAAAAAGGTTACCTCATGTGACTGTATTTGTTCAGTTTTAGGTCGAAAACTTAAAATATTCTAAAGAATATGAGAAGAAAACAAAAGACTACTATTTGTTTCTATAGCTTTAACATGTCAATCCTTATTGGAAGTTGGCTCCTATGAGAAAGGACTTCATCTAACCTGTCCTTAGGCAGTCTTAAGAGCCTTTAAGTGTCCAACTTCATATTATCTGCTAGCTTACTTCTAGCTTAATTCGTGCAAACTACAAGAAGAAAGGTTTCAGATCGCGATCTTTGCGATGATTTTGTGAAAACATTGATAGAAATATTGTTACACGATTTTGTCAACATGTTGAAATTTCAAGCGACAAGAAAATGAAAGACGAGAATTATAATCAGCAAGGCAATGGCAACGTTCACAGGACGCACCCCCTGACACATTAAAGAAGACATGCGACTGACTCGTGCGAAGAAACTGAGAGTTGTCGAGACATTTGCGAAATATTCTTGCGAATGGCGTTCGCAAGTGCCTTCAATGGAAAGGCAAAACAAAATCGTCGTCGTAGTAGACGCTGTCTGACCTTGGCGGAGATTGTATCCTTACATGTTTGCAATCGATTCTGCAACAGCAGTGATGAAAATTCCATTTCTGAAAAACCCTCCGCCACCTACCTCCATTCCTCTTCTGTTGTTTGAATTTTGAATGATTCTCATGATAACGGTCATTTATGACCTGACATACCTCTTGCATAACTTTGGCGACGGTTTCATTCTGAACACACATGTCATGTACGACAATCCCCAGTAGTAAGGAACCTAAGCGTGATGACGGGCTTCAATTGAGTGGACAGTTGAAGTTTGTTCTCTCTTTTAATGTCTAGGGCCTGAATCGTGACTGTCCTGTTTTTGTTTGGGGTCCGCCTGGGCTCCTTGCCACTAGTTCTTGTTGCTGGGTCATATGGGGGTTGCGTTCATTGAACGCCGCCATTCCTTGTTGATCTTGTTTATCATATTTTGGACCGTAGGAGCAGCAATGAGACATCTTGCAGCCTTCACCATTGCAATGTCGTCTGAAACCAAATTAGAGTTCTCATCTCAAAGGTTGATCCATCTCATGTCCGACCACTGAAATCCGAGTTTGCTTTTATTTTTGACTTTCCTCTCATTTGTTGTGCATTTAATGCAATGTTTGCATAAATTTCGCGCGTTTTTCGCAATTTTGCGAAACAGTTGACAAACAGGTATCACGAGAATGTCGTGCAATAGTCTCATGATATATTTGTGAACTTTGTTACGAGCTAAACGCAACAGAGAAGATAATGCAGCAACAAAGTTTACAATTTTTAATTAACGAAGAACAGTTATTTTCAATAATACAAAATAAATATGAAAGTAAAGTTTAACTCACATTTATCCACGATACAAATTTAACAAATGTCCTAAAGTTTAACTCACAGTTCGAAATTTAATTGTCCGCAACTCCAATGTAATCAATGTCCAATGTCCACAGCAGAATTATTACAATATGTCTAACATGTCCAATATGTCCTACACAGAATTACAGAATCCAAACTTATATATTTCTATGTTAGCAGTACAAGAACACACAATCAGTATATTAACATCACACAATATCACAAATTAGCACACACACCGAAGTACAAACATTCATCATATATATACTATCAATTAACAATCTAGAATACTTAGCTACTTAGAGGAAGAATATTCTAGAATGAACAGATCTTTCTTGAACGAAGATGAATGAACATGAAAAATTATATAAACATCAAATAAACAAAATTATTAAAAAAGATAGTGGCATGAGTAGGAATCGAATCCACGACATCGCGATTATCAGACCTGCGCTCTACCTTCTGAGCTATTCAGGAAACAGATACTAAACTCATTTAAAATAAAGCATATATTATACAACTTTATGATATATTTTGCAGGAAATGCATATATGTCATTGATATAAGGACGTGAAACCCCGATCGAGTTTTGTCGCTAAAAAATCGCAAAATGTGCCTAACATTTGTGTATCAAACAACTCGCGAGGTGTCGCAGTTCAGTGTGTCAGTACCTTAACTTATGATGCTTATAATGTTACATAAGCGTTTAAAGTAAAGAGAAATCTTTGTCTTAGTTGAACTTATGAAACATGTTTGCTGTTAATTTCTTTTTTTTCAGGTGTCGGATATTGTTTGTCATACGTGTCTTCTGTCATAATTATCAACTTATATTTCAAGAAAAGAAGGACTTTAGCAAATGGTGTTATGATATCAGTCGGAGGGGTAGCTATTCTATTGATCCCATCCCTTTACAGGTACTTTTTTAATAATTCCCACTATATATCTAGTTATATCTGTGTATGCACTTATGTATCTGTGTCTCATATAAATATTCACGTAAATATTCATGATGGCAATATTTTTAATTAAGGACCAATGCTATCAAATAGTTCAAAATCTGTATTCAGGTTAATATTGACAGATATTCGTAAGTATATTGTTCTCACGAATGTGTCTTCATTTCAGGTTTTTAATTGACAAATATGGTCTGTCACAAGCACTTTGGCTGATTGGTGCATTCCTTTCTAACATTTGTGTGCCAAGCTGTTTATTTCGGGAGCCAAATAAACCACCCCAAAGCAACAATGCACAGGCAGGAATTAAAGAGAGCATTTCGGTTAAAACAAATGAAAACCAGATAAAATGTTGCAATGAATCTAAATTGAATTTGTGTTTGTTTAAGAACAAACGTTTCACACTGTTAGTTATAGCTTTAACTATTTGTACATTTGGCCACATTAGCAATTTCATTTTAATTCCCGCCCATATCAAAACACTTGGGTTTAGCAACACTTATATTACAATAGGTGTATCTATAACTGGTGGTGCAGAATTGATTGCAGGGATTGCTGTAGGATGGTTTGCAGATCTGAATTTTATTCAAAAGAAATATATATTCGTAGTCTGTATGTTTCTTGGAGGAGTTTTTGCATTGATATCACCACTGTTCGATTCTTTTACGTTTATGGTAGTATACGCCGGAGTTGCTGGAGCGTTTCCAGCGTCATATCTTGCCCTTATATCAGTCTTAGCGATTGAAAGAGTGGGCATGGACAATTTCCCAGCAGCCTTCTCGATCATATATGTCTTTATGTCAATTACGTCTTTGATCTGCCAGCCTATAGCCGGTAGGTATAATATATTTACCCGGAACTTTTACAAATTTGACTTCATAAAACACACTGATTCAAATATTCATATTTATGTTTTAAGTAATTACTTAGAAACCCTTGTCTTATTTTTCTGTTATTGTATAACAGTTTTACAATGATTAATGTAATACTTAGAAATATAGTGACCGATCAGTCAGCCAACAAACATTTGAGGGACAGAAGCCGAAGGAACACATTTTTGTTAAGTATATTATACGTTTATGTAAATGGTTCAACTCACCCACATTTTCTTTAATTTGTTTTTCTTTATTTCTAAATATACATATTGTTATCAGGTTGGATGGCAGATTATTACGGAAGCTGGTATCCTGCATTTACCTTAACCGGCATAAGTCTAATTTGTGCTAGTGTAACACTTTTACTAGAACCAGTTGTCAGCCGGTATGGCATGGGCAAGACATGTTTTATAGAAAATGTTAATAATGAATTGGCATCTCGAGTAAAAGTAAACGGAGTACAAGACAGTAACGAAGGTAATTTGAAGAATGCCGATACAGCAGAAACAGACTTACCTTAATAGGAAATATGAATCCAGATATAATAAAAACATATAAAATGAAAAGTGTATAATTAACTATGAATATACTATATGACATCATTTATCGTAATATCAAGTGCAGGGATGCTTTTTAGATGACACTTATTTGAAACACTTAAAGAATGTATTAAACACGTTTCATAAAAGAATAAAAAGTATCATGTGTTCATGTGGTTAACCTTTTGCCTCATATAGACTTTTTTGACGGCTTTTCATCCCCTTTTGAGGCCTCAAATAATGAAAATGCCCTATTTAGACCCCAAACCACTGTAAAAAAAATATGTTTCTCATTCTGATACTCTTTTGTGTTGTAGCAAATACAACCTTATCAACACAAAAAAATGAAATGGCAGGAATCAGACACCATGGTTTTATAATTGTATACATCATCAATTGGCCAAAAAAGCAATTTTATTATTTCTTCACTTAAAGGACCTGCTTAAAAATAAATCTGTCATGCAGGAAATCTAAAGAATTCTGGCCTGTATTCAGAATTGATACTTACAATCTTTCTCATTGAGTAAAAACCATATAATTGCTTAACGTTCAAGACAGTACTGAGCTTCTCAGTAAAATGGTATTGAGATTATAAAGTCAATTTTGAGTAAACTAGGGTAAGTTGATAATTTGTGAGATTAGGAGAGGGCTATCTTCTTGCGTCTTCAATAAATAATACTAAATACCACTTAGGCTTGAATTATTTTAGTTCCATATACATTAAAATGGATCATATACAGGAACTGCAGAATTAATTCCCTGTAATTTTACATCAGAAGTTGAATTTTATCAGAAATTTCAAATGACATATTTTTAATTTGAATTAAATTAGCACCCTGAACATTAGTTCTTAGCTAAACTTTTTGCTGCCAAAAAGGAGTTAATTTTTACGATTTCCAAATGGAAATTTCTTAAATTTCCTTTTATCCATGAAAATAGCTGTGTTTATCAAATTGATTGTCGATGTTTCTGGAGTTCATTCCTCGGATGATTTGTCGAATGCATCTAAATATAGACCTATATAAATGTTTTGTTTATGAAATATTGAAAAATAACAGTAAAGTAAAAGTTACACCAAAATGTTCGAATATTGGGATTTACCTATAATTCCCAATCTATACATTGAAAGATATGTTAAAAAATTAAATCTAAAAGATATTTTCATGACGTCATGAATAACCATGACATAAACTTTGAAGACGTTGAAGTATTTTAAATTAAAAAAAGAAACACTATTAATTAAATTGTACGTAGAAAAACAATATCTTTCAGCTCAATATGAGTTAGCATGTATTTATATATTTTTTACTGAACGAGTATGATATAGAGGATATTTGATTTTTCATTGTGTGATTCACAAGTGACCATCAGAGTTTTATATTTTCACTCGTGGCTACTCCATTCGTGAAAATATTTAAAATCTGATGGTCATGAGTGAAATTAATTTCGATCACACACAAACAGTAAAATATACTCTATATCATTTCATGCATTTCGGAAAAAAGTAAAACACTGTGATAACATGAACATCTCATCCACCCGTGGTGCACCCAAATATTTACTATGTCTACACGTGCGAGACACTATTCAAAGTAGTTCTGAGAAATTCGATAAAAGTAATAAAAATCTGGGCTTTCAATGTTCGTTTCTTTACTTATAAGCACAATAATAACATTTTAACAAACATTTTTTTATTTTTATCTAATGTAACACAATATTAGAGAAACTGCAAATACATCAATGATATATATTCCTCCGCGTCAGGGTATGACGCAAAATTGAAACGTTCGCCATATTTTCTTACATATTTTTTATAAGTAAAATTGCGTTCTTGTCAAGAAAAAGTGGTTTCATATTCACCAAGTGTTTTATCAAAAAGATTCAATCACTGTCATCGGATTCTATAATGCGAATACGTGTATGTGCCGGTCGAACCAGGGGAGAGAAAACTTGGGAAGAAATGGAAGTGGATGTACATTGGTTGTAATTAACAGCTGACATCTGTGAAAGTGTTTGATTTTCAGACACCGAAGTGTTGGGGGAAATGAAAAGAAACCGGGCTATTAGGCCAGAAAACATTCCCATTCCACTAGGACCTTGATTCAATGAAGCAGCACTACTTTGAGGCTGACGAACATCCATGATTTCCAGGTTGGAATTTGTTTCTCAACTTCCTTATTTGACAGTTTGTCCGAAATTTTCTTGCTCTGTTCGTGACTTATTCTGCTGTAATTATTCACACAAATAACGATTTTTATGGTCTGAAACTTGGATTATTTGGTTCACTAGAGAGCCTTGTAAGTAGTCTCTTTGATGAACTGAAAAGATTTAAAAAAAAAAAAATAATACGTAGATTATTAACTAAATAATGTTTAATAAAATTCTTGCATTTTAAGTAATTGTTAAATTGATCAGACCTAGGAAAGTCGTATATTTATGGACTATTTATACATTTATTTATATAATCTGCAAATTTACAGATTTTCAATTAAGGAAAGCCTTAATATCTAGCTTGATGGTCTCTTACAAATAAATTGCTCTGGACGGTCACTTTTCAAATCTCAAAATATGTTTAAAATATGTCAGTTTATATCTTAAATAACTTCTCAATGTCAGAAGTTTTGAAGCTGAGACCTTAAACCGAGTGTGCCATTATCATTGCTGTAAGGAATAGGCATATTAAAAAATTCAAAATAGCATACAAACCCAGTTACCTGAAAAAAAACACGTTCGGGTGTTGTAAATATTCATGACTCGGTAGCCATTTTGTCAAGTTTGCAACCAATTTTCTCGCTTGAACCAATCGTTCATCCACTTCACGTCCCGTATGATAATGTATGTCCTATCCATGCATTGCACGCATCAAATTCATACCCTCGCTAATAAAAGCTTTACCACCACTTACATTGCTTTGATTTGTTTTGATAAATGTTTATTCTCTATTCTGTTTCTTTGCACTTATAATTTTAAATGAAATTGTTGAAGCAAGAACAAATTGCGTGTGTTTTTACCGGATATAAATATCAAAGTTGTTAATCTTTACATTACAACAATTGATGTGTTAATGGAATGCAATAATTGATTACAAAAAGATTCCCGGCAATATTTACGTAAGTTATCGATTTCTTTCTAAGTTTCTTATTTCAAAACCAATCAGGCGAGAAAAATCTAAGATGTATAATTGTTTGAGTATATACATTCATGAAACGTAAACATTTTGTAACATATTTGTAATTTACTACATGGTATAACTGCTAAGGCAGAGTCGAACATTCATATCTAGTAGTAGCAAATATGAACTTAGATGTTACGCACAAGGTCTTTTTCATACAGCATAGTTCACTAAGAAACAGTGTAGTTCTTTAATTCTTATTCAACTCTTAAAGATATAAAATCAGACTTCTTGCAAAATATAGAAGACTACGCTACATATATCACAGTAACTTCAAAGAAACATCGACTGGACATTGTAAAGTGACAAAAACAGTGGTTTGAGAAAATACAACTTCAATTGATTTGACATTTACCTGGAGATTCATTTCATGTCTGTCACTTTTTTAATACTAGCAACGTAGTCAAGTTTGGAATCCAATGTTAATGACAATATGAATATGACAAACTATTTAGTAATTTTCAGCCATGCTTTACGTGTTATAGACGGAAATATATCTTTTGAAATGAGAAAAACATCGTTTTCAATTATTTTGTACACTTATAATATAATTTTCAATTTGCATATGTTTAATTTTATAACAGGTTAACAAACATTATATCTCAGAAATTTGTAATATATAAAAGAAAATGTAGTCAAAGGTTTAGATGTTCAACTTACATGTAAGAAGTATAGTTAAAAACATGGATTATGTACTAAATATCATAGGATATTTTTGGGATTGCCAATTCTATTCTTGCGTAAGATCACACCATTTACAATTCTTCTTCATTTGTAAATATCGATAAATAAATATAAAATAAATTAAATGTTTTAATGAAATTGACATTGACACATTTAATGTATCACTAAATATAAGTATAAATATTGTCACAGTTTGAGGAGAAATTTAATGTTAATTTTCAATTTCATGCAAATGTGTTATTTTTGTTACTGCTATCATCATACGTTTCATGTTTGGTCAGTGTATTTTCGTAAACATGTTAATTTAAAGCCACCAGTAATGTCATTAGGTGAACTAACAGATACATAATTTCATACAATTTGGTTTGTGATGGAAGAGAAAGCAAGAAAGAATGGCAGACATGAAACAAAAGCTGAACAAGTCATGGACACGGGATATGCCTGGATAATACTGTTATGTTAAATATAAAATTATTTATTACATAAAATCACTTACATATCCGGCCATGTATATCTTCTCGTAATCGTTTCTTAAATAAATTAATAATATGTAATATATGGCTGTTACTAATTTCTTTATTTTAAAACAGTAAACAACTGACAAAAGGATGGAAATCTATATTACCAGACAATATTTGAGTATTAGATACTTACGATATTTTAGAAAGAATAATACTGTCTATAAAACTAATCATTATGATTAGAACTTGGGATACCAAAATAAAAATGTATATATTACAACAAACAACAGTGAAACACAATACAATCTGTTACTTTCCAATTGTGTTACACAACAAAATTACATTTCACTATTCTAACTTACTCACATAGATAATGGTTTCGTATTTACTATTTTCAAAGCAGTTATTATCTTTAACTGTTGGAACTCATGTGTCTCGGTGCTATTTCGTAACTGAAAGCATATGTTCTTCTGTCTGTGTTCACCTACATGTATACCTTCAAAATTAATTAAAATACTTGCTTCAAGACCACATTAATTCATTTTGCATCAAATTAAAAAAGAAAAACTGACAACACGATTTAACTAAATACCTACAGCACCTACATTAAGATAATCTTATGAAATTTAAAGTAAAGTCATTAATTACGAATTATTCAATGGATATATTCGATGTATATACATGTTACTGCCATTTTCTTTTTACTTATAGGAAGTGTTATCATTTACCTGCTTGGGATTGGCTCTTTGAAAGCATTTGGTGTGTTGTACACAGAGATGTTGGATCACTTCTCGGCAGGATCTGGAAATACAGCTTGGATAGGAAGCATAACCTGGTTTCTTGTACATGTCCTTGGTTTGTTTATATTTGTTTAAATTATCATAACTCATACATGTTGGCGGAGGAACAATGTTTGACAATTTCATTCGCTTTTATTTTCTTTTCAAAATCTAAAAATCACGAGATAATGAGAAAATATTAACAATGGAGACGTGTTAAGTCCTCGTAATATTCAAAAACATACCAGACCATATGAAATAATTTTCTGATAACTGAAGATTGTAACATTTTGAAAATCTGTTATTCAGCACCATTGGCAAGTTTTCTATGCAGAAGATACTCCTTCCGATTGGTTTCGCTTGTTGGTGGTTTAATGGTTGGATGTGGTTATTTCTTGTCCGGATTTGTTACTCTAATTGAACTTATGTACTTGACCTTTACGATAATTGGTATGTTAAAGATATTTTTACTATATAAGAAAACAACAAATCTAGTGACGATTCTGCTTATTTCAGTTAATCCACAAATATGCCATGAATGTACAATCTTCAAAAGCTGTCAATAATCCGCGAAATTTTTGTAATGCTAACTGTTTAATGCTATATAAGACACCATGTAAGTATGCCCGAAATTCTATGATCTACGTACAAACATATTAAAACCATATTACTGCAGGTGGCCAACACTACAAAAATTCGAAAATCTCACGATAAGTATTTGTATTACATTTGTATGTTGTGCATTGTAAATTTGTGTTACATATAGTACCAGAGATAGCACTACCACTAGATATAGTACCAATGTTTCATATCTTAAATTACCTTGTCTTTCGAACTGTTTTCATCAAGGTAATATGCTCCAGAATGAATCATATAAATTGTATAAATAAGATCGGTATGGCTTAAAATAAATAAAGTAATAAATAAAGTTATGTTTGTAGCTACAAATCACAATATTGTGTGGTACTAGTTTGGCACACGTTTTGACTGTATACGCGGGATAAGAAGTTTTGCAATGAAAGGGAAATAACTCGCACAAAAATAGCCTATACACACTTGCAGAATTCTCGCCCCGACAATACATTTCTGATAATTGTGCACAATGATTATGTTATTTACATAGAATTACAAAATACATATTTTATTTTAATATGATTGGCTTTCGTCATTTAATGAACTTCTCTGTTAACATATATAGATAGATAAACTTTATTCATACAAAGACAATATGCTCATCAGTACACAGTAATAATACAATCAGCAGTAAAATAACATCAATGGCATGATATAGCATGCTATACATAAAATAGGTTTATTAAAAAAGCCAATTCTGATTCATCATAACATATCTAGACTATAATTATATATGTGATACATATAAAATGTATATGATAACATCAATGACATGATATAAGCATGATATACATGAAATAGTTATATTACAAAGTCGATTCTTATTCATCATAACCTATCTAATATATTATATATATGACACAGTGAGAGGACAAGGTTAACGTTGATACAATGCACTGTCTCTTTTATCAAAACTTTTGCAAACAAATATTGCTAAATTTTAAACAATCCAAATATTTTCAGATTCAAATAGTTCTCTAAATTTAATTACATTAGGTCTCTTCCAAAAATATTTTTTCATATGCATTTGTCTAATATCTTGGTACAGGGGACATTCAAATAAAAAATGAAACTCATCTTCTAGAGTGTTACAAAGTCTTCATTTTCTTTCGTCAAATGATATTTTTGTGGCCTATGCCATCTACCCGCTTCTACCTATAAATAATGTGATGACGCTCTCAGTCTTGTTAATGCTTTTCTAATTTTAGTAATTTTTACAATGTCTAAATATAGCTGATATCAAAAACATGAAAAAAGTTTATATGTCCTGGCTCTTGTCGAATTTTCTAATTGAGCGTTCCATAGTTGTAAACAATTATCATACAGTCTTTGCTTAAATACATCTATAAAAATATTTTTGTTTCCAACTCCTTGGAATAGCCACACATGATTAAAACCAAATGAGTCTAGTAAAAGTTTAATATTATATGCCCATGAAATCTTATTAAGATACATTTCTAAATCTCTTAACATCATATCGTATACATACGTCTTATATATTTTGTGCATTCGCATTCTAATATTTTATACCAGTATCTTACTACACATATTAACCTGTAAGAAAGTAAACTTGTTCGACCTAATTCTCCATAGACAAAATTATTCTGGGTTTGGGCACGTACTCCTAAAAGTTGTTTACAATATTGTAAATGTATTCTTTCAATAACATTTGTTTCTTTGAAACCCCATATTTCACATCCATAGTTTAATATAGGATCAACTAACTTATCAAACAGTTCTAAGGAGTGCTTAACATCAATATTAGTGAATTTAACTAAATAAGACTTGAGTTTGTATATTGCCTTCAACGCCTGGCCTGGTAATGCCTCGTGCGTTGTGCTTAAAGAACCACCTGTGGTAAATTTAATACCGAAATACGAATTTTTTTTTAACAATGTCTACAGTGTGACCTTATAACATATAATATATTTCCTGTAATGCCTATCTTAAGTAATTTATACCGTATTATATCACGTACAACAAAATCAAATACCTTGGTAAAATCTACAAAGGCTACAAAAAATATTTTTTTATTGTTAAGCATATGATAAATTATTCCTTGTAGAATAAACATATTATCAATCGTTCCCATACTTTTTTGGAAGCCTGTCTGTGCTTCAATATACACATTATAATCCTCGGCCCAAAAATTTAATCGGTTATTCAAAACTTAAGTAAATAGCTTGCCTATAGTACTAAAAAAGTAATTGGTCTGTAATTTCCGGGTTCATCTGTATCACCTTTTTTGTGTATAGAGATGATGTATCCTTCAGTCCACTTTTCAGGGAAATAACCGAGGATAAAAATTTTGTTAAATGAATTTTTACGGAAAGATAGGAAAAATCTATTTTGCGACCCATATTTAAAATTTCATTTAAAACCCAGTCTGGACTAATCTTAACTCATTACAAGCTTTTAAAACCTCAGCAGAAATCACGTGTCTCACTTTTGCACTTTTGCACTATTTGATGTAAATCGGCTATAATTTTGTTGTTACAATTTTAATGTCGAATAATAATTATGTTATGTTTAGAGGTAAAAGAGAAATCTATGTCTAAGATGAACGTGTATTATTAAACATGTTTGCTGTTTAGTTAATTTTATCAGGTATAGGAAATTGTTTGTCACACGTCTCATCTGCCATTATTATCAACTCATATTTCAAGAAAAGAAGAACTTTAGCAAATGGTGTTATGGCATCAGTCGGAGGGGTAGCTGTTCTTTCGTTCCCATCCCTTTACAGGTATTTCGTAAATAATTTTAATTGTATTACTAACCAACGATAGTGCTTTGTTAAATTGATCTTTAAACGTCTGTTGTGTATAACTTCGAATAATTTAAACGATATCGAAACGTACTTCTATATGTCATGAATAATACTGACTTTAATGTCATTCTCTTCTTGACTCCATGATGAATCCGATGCCATTAAAGCTGTACACCTCAAGATGAGCAAAAATATTTCGATATAATCAAACCTGAGAAAAATGTACTAAGATTTTAGGAAAGGTATAAAGATTCAAAATACAAGTAATAATTTTCATGCTATTAGCGATTAATGACCAATATTTAAGTATTTATAACTGCGTTACCAACGCAGTAAGGTCTATTTTTGCATATTTTGTCCTCTATATAGCTATTTACATAGGTTGTTAGTGCCATTGATAATGGGAAAATTGCATTCTTTTGGTAACTTTACAATACTATACTGTTAAATACAATTTCAAATTTTCATGAAAATGAGCATGAATCTGAAGGCGTGCTACTTTATTAAGCTGCACGACTCCAGATGAGCAAAAATATTTCGATATAATCAAGCCTGAGAAAAATGTACTAAGATTTAAGGAAAGGTATAAAGATTCAAAATACTTGTAATAATTTACATGTTATTATATAAGTTACACATGGGTTTGTGGGTAACAGTAAAAATATCATCCAGAGGAAAATACTGTAACAGTATTTTTACCAGGGATGATATTTTTACTGTTACTCACAAACCCATGTGTTATTTATTTTATTACCCCGAACAAAAATACTGTGATGATCTGAAATTGTCAACTAAATCTAACTGTAACAAAAATAAACCAAGAGTAACAATAACTGAACTGTCCTTACCTTTTAGGTTTTAAGTGTTCTTTAGGCCTACTTGAGAAGTTTTCTTTTTCTTTTATTCTTTAAGCTAGTGATGATATCTACAAATCATAAACATACAATAGGCTAGGTTTTATTTAGAAAACAAAACACTAACCAATTTACACGGTTATGATCTGTTAAATCTGATCCTTCTGTTTCCAGAATATTCTTAGCATGGGTTTGACAAAATAACGATGATATCCTATGTCTGTCCACCATATCTGTAACGTTTCACTGATTAAAATTGTTAAATAATCCTTTGTTGCATGCTTAAATCTTCTGTATGTTCGAGTTTGATACATAATTATTTACATTGCAATTACTTCCGTTGGAAACGGATGTTCATATTTTGACTATTCAACAAAAAGATATTTTATACGCGAAAAGCACACAAGGGTGCGATCAACTAAATTTTATGATTGTCATAGTTACTCCAGAAAGAAATTGATGTCCTATCGGGGTTTAACGTCGTAAAAAAGAATGAATAGAGAAAAAAATGGCGGCCATTCATTTAATTTTATTTAGAAAAAAGACCACGTGACCAGATTTTATACTGTTAAAAAATACTGTTACCTATGTAACAGTACAAAATTCTTAGTCACGTGGTACACTTGCATTAACAGTAAAAATAACTCCCAGAGGTCTAGGGGAAATTAGCATTACGAAAAAAGTGAGGGGTAATTAATAATAGCGAATAATGACCGATTTTTCAGTATTTATAACTGCGTTACCAACGCAGTAAGGTGTATTTTTTGCATGTTTTGACCTCTTTATAACTATTTACATGGGTTGTTAGTGCCATTGATAATGTGTAAATTGCATTCTTTTGGTAACTTTACAATGCTATACTGTTAAACTCCAGAAACTGAAATCTTCAACCACTATTTACATGTTTTAGCGGCATTTCTCGGATATATTAACAAAGTCCTTGTCAAGCATTTTTAAATTTACAATAGATAAATACTTCATTTCAGGTATTTGATTGACAAATATGGTCTATCACAAGCACTTTGGGTGATTGGTGCATTCGTTTCATTTGTGTGGCGAGCTGTTTATTTCGGGAGCCAAAAATAACAAGTCCAAGTAACAACGCACAGGCAAAAATTGAAGACAGCATTCCAGATAAAACAGATGAAAACCATAAAAATGTTGCAATGCACTTAACCTTAATTTTTGCTTGTTAAAGAACAGACGTTTCATACTGTTACTTTTAGCTTTCACAATCTGTTCATTTGGCCACTTTACCAATTACATTCTAATTCCTGCCCATATTAAAGCACTTGGGTATAGTAACACTTACATAACAATAGGTGTATCTATAACTGGTGGTGCAGAATTAATCGCAAAGATTGTTGTAGGATGGTTTGAAGATATTAATTATATTGAAAAGAAATATATATTCGTAGTTGGAGGAGTTTCTGCTTTGATATCACCACTGTTTGATACTTTTACGTTTATAGCAGCGTATGCAGGAGTTGCGGCATCGTTTCCAGCGTCTTATATTACCTTAATACCAGTGTTAGCGATTGAAAGAGCGGGCATGGAAAATTTCCCAGCAGCCTTCTCGATCATATTGGTCTTTATGTCAATTCCGTCTTTGATCTGCCAACCTATAGCCGGTAGGTGCAACATATTTACCAAACACATTTTCTTTTTCTTTTATGCATAAATACTAGTTAAAATGAAATTTCCTTGATATCAACTTTAATATCAAATCTGTTTTCCCCACTGGTAGCCCTCAATTTAAGAGTTTTTCTCATAAATACATGAAGTATTGAGCATGTCTCCAGTAGTTCAAAAATCAACGTTTGTGATGATGTTATCTAATTCATACAAAATGAACGATTTCTGGTTTTAATAATTTAACACTTCAATTTATAAAATTACAAACTGAAATCATGGGAAACTCATTGGCTTTTCTAAAATCAAATGTAGTTCTTGTCATACTAAAATAGAATTGTAAGCACAGTAAACGTAAAGTACAGGTTTAAATGAAATGTAAAGGATTGTTCTAAAATAAACTCTTGCACAGTTAATGTGGTGGGTGGATGGTTTAAAACACATACAAGTTAATGTATTTCGGCTGAATGTCTTTTTAGTGTGATTTTTAGCGACAGCCATTTTTAAATTTGTGTATTTAACCGGATGTAAAAACAAAATGTGTTTGATTCAGCGTGATTTGTTGGATTTGTTAATTCTACATGCATAAGAAAACTTATTTGAGGTTTTTTTACAGACAATAAATAATTGTTGACAGATGAGTTAACGTTCGAGAAGTGTTTAGAAATGTGAAAACATGGATTTTTTGGAGACTTTGTGTTTTTACTTATCCTTCCTTGTCATTGCTTTTACACACTGCACTGTATTACTTAAAAATGCTCATCTTATTATTATCTTTTCGATTTTGGTTATACTAATTTCTAAGAAATAGTACAAAGCAATGAGGGTCTCATAGAATTATAGGGACCAATCAGTAGGCCCACAAAGATGTGTAAATGGTTGAACCCGTCCATATTTCCATAATTTTGTTTCGTTTTTCTTAATTTTTTATGTTTAAACTTATTATAAAAAACAAATTTTGATCAGGTTGGATGGCAGACTATTACGGAAGCTGGTATCCTGCATTTATCTTAAATGGCATTATTCTAATTTGTGCTGGTGTTATACTTTTGATAGAACCAGTTGTCATTCGATATGGCATTGGCAAGAGCTATTCATTAGAAAATGTTGATAATGAATTGGCATCTCGAGTAAACGGAGCTTATGTACAAGACAGAAAAGAAGAATACTGATTTAGTAGATGAAACACAATTACCTAAATAGGAAATGTAAACCCAGATGAAAAAACCAAACAACAAGAAGCATATAAATTGAAAAATTTTGTATATGTTAAACGACATCATTTATCGTATTGTCAAGTGAATGGATTTTTCTTTGGCGACGCTTACTTAAAACACACCAAATAAATGTATCAAACACGTTTCGTAAAAAAAAATAATAAAAAAGTCTCATGTTTCCCGATTTTTGTATAGTGGATATGCTGTTTTGTCTTTTATCATATACCTTTATTATGCAGGAATTATCTATTCTTTAAATTGGCGCAAAGATGTGATTCTGCATTAGATCAGTGGAAACTTAGATAATTTTTCTTAAATGTTATATAGTTTAAAGGAAGGAGGCTTCGTTTTTACTTTGTATTCCACCTTTAACACTTAACAGTCTTGTTAGGTTCATGACCATGTTATGTTGTTTTGTTTGCTTCCGAGGGATCATCTTTTTTTCCAGATTTTCATACCACAGAGCAGCAGTTGTCGAGTGCCGTGTGGCAGCTGTAAAAACTTCCTCTTCTTCCCTTCAGTGTCATATTGTTCTGGTCCTTTGGGATTATTGATTCCAGCACATTATATATTGAAAAATGAGTACCTATCAAGCCGGTACTATGGTTTGTGAGGGATTTTGATGTTGCACTTTTTCAAAATCCCTCATGTACAGGCTCGATCAACCCGAGTCTGTAATTTTCGTGTCATTTTTTTATGCTTTCGAGGGATCTCTTTTTTCCAGATTGTTTACTTCAAATGACAACAGTTCAATCCCATAAATGCACCATCAATTATACGTTGGCTAGTCCTTCACTTAAGCCATTACCTCTATCATTTTCTTAAAACCCTAACAAATTATCTGATATGCCAAATTACGTAAATATATATATATATATATAGTGTTCAGCGTTTTGTTTTTGCAACACAATCGGTATGTCTAACAGGGGACCAAGCGATGTTCCAACGTTTCTGACTCGAAACCAGATACGATTTTTGAAAGGCAAAACTACAGTGTAATGAGATTCATCGTCTACATCTGTTTACTAACGTCATTTGGAGGGAACTAACGTCATTTGGAGGGATGTTTATACGCAGCAATGATAAACATGAACTATCAAGGTATCTGCTTCATGAAAAATACACAACCCGTACTTAAAAGTTCTTATTTTATGTTCAAGTGATACTTTGCATTCAGAAAATTACATATTAAGCAGTGTCTTCGGTTTTTTTAATTTCAATAAAATATTCTTCAAAGATGTAAATCACTTGAAGTTATGAACTATTACAAGTTGATATCCTCACAAGAGGAATTTAAAAAATATCAATTTAATGTTACTTTTTTATTTCTACATGTTCTGAAAATAAATACTCATTGATATCTATTCCGTGTATTATACAAAATACGAAAACATTGCTGAATTTTTTCAGTAAAGGAAATAAAGATAAAGAATGGGAGGGAGTCCAGATGGAGGGACTCCCTGATTTCGTGTCACTTGAGTAGCGGCGACACATAGAATCACTTCTCTGTCGTCTGTATATCCGTCCGACCGTCCCAAAGCTTCTGTGGACTGCTCAACAAACTTCTACTGGTGCAATTTTAACTGTACAACTTTACAAAATGATCAGTACCAAAATAGAGAAAAACATAACCCCTAAAGTAAGCCAAAAGCGACAAAATTGAAAATGTTGCAGGTTCGGTTTGATTGAGCCTGTTCATGGACGATAGTGTCAAATGGAAACTACTGTCTACGCCCCCTAGCACGGGTTTAAGCAGAATTCAACACTTAAACACGCAATGGTAAAATTTTGAATTTTAGAAACATCCGCAGATGACTTGTTTTACATGTAGTCGGCATGTTACAATTAAATTTTTTTTTCTTCAGAATTATGGCGCATGTTTGATTTTCATTTTTAAAGATTGTCCGGACTACTTCTCTGATATGACTTACGCAATTGTATTTGATCCGTAACCGGACTGATCATTGCCTCAATTACTTGAACATATTACATGGGTTTTTGGTTGAATAGTTTTTGGCTGCAGTATGGCCATTGAATAAAATATTGAGTTTTTTGTCGCTTGCAACATGCTACAAGTAGCCGCGACATATTGGGGACAAACTGTCAAGTCACCTAAAGACAACTGCTTAAATGGTAACCATCAGGCGACTCATGTGATCATTCTCGTACAGTTGCAAAGCAAAAAAAAACAGCAACCGTTTGGTTTAAAATTAATAGTGGTAATTAGAGGACTATGGTGAGTGGTCATGATAGTAAATATCATTACCCTCCTCCCCCACAAAAAAAATAACAAAAAACAAAAAAACAAAAACATAAAACACACATGATATCGACACTTGAACCAAACTAGACATATTCGTTACAATAACAAACAAACAAACAATCAAATAAACAAACAAAGAAACTAAAAATAAACAACAACAACAAAAAGAGCACAGAATATTAGTTCATAGACTGGTATCCTTTTGTTCTTTTGTTGTGTTCATTGTGATATGGTAATTTTTGTAAATCAACAATGCAAACAAAGCATTACGATATGTTATCTAAATTAGGATTAAGATGTAGAAGAATAACACAAATAAATCTATAAGACGAATAATTTGTTTTCTTGAAATATGAAACCTTAAGCACTTGTCGGGAGTAAAGTGAAAAGGTGAACATTGTAGATTAATCTTTCAACGTCGCATTTAATATAACTTTATTCCCTACAAACAAGTGACGATAATCTCCAATTTTACTGAAATGAAATAATTTTGAGGGAATTATTTGTTTTGTTAAAGAATTTAGAATTTGTTAGGATAAAGGTTTCTATGTAGAAATGTAATCAGAAAAAAACTATTTTCACGTCTTAGTGAATCGAATATAGCGTTCAATTTTCACCAGGACAAGTTGGTATCATGATGTGCAAACATTGCGTGTGTTGCCAACAGCTTTAGGAGGTCGAATAGAATCGAGAATAATTATGATTTATAATTTTCATCAAATATCAGAAATAACCATGTCATGCAATATTTGTGTAAAGAAGACTTTTTAAAGTGCTTTATAACTAAACTTTATTTCTACGTGCGATCCTTTGACTTGATATTTTTGTAAGGGGAAAAAAACAACTATTATATGCGTTTTATTTTTTAACTTTGATTATATTGTACACTACTCCAATGTAAGAAAAAGTCTGAACAAGTTTATTTGTTAGCTGTAAAAGAGCCTTTATTAGTATTTTTTTTCCAGAAAAATCCATTAGAGTCAGAACAATGTTTTTTTCTTTAAATTCATAACAGTTTCATTGAATCCTCAAAAGTTTTCTGTTATAGTAACCGAGTAAGAAAATAAATCAATCTAAAGAAATGTTTCTGAAGATATACTCTAGCCATAATGATCCATTTGAACGGTCTAAAATGATCTAAAATGATGATGATATTTTGTTAAGAAACATAATTTAACTTAAAGATATACTATGCTCATGTTTGAGTTAAATAATATAATCACAGAAAGTTATTGAAATATATTTTAATCACAGAAAATTATTGATATCTATGAAATTCTTATTGAACATTTTAACTATATAAAAGAACGAATAAACTATGTATGAGAAGCCTTGATATTGTGACCACCTATATTAATTATTATGTAGAATTTAAAACATAACAGATCTACTTTGTGTGAAGTCAAAACATGTTTTTTTATGTATTTTATTATATATTTATTAAGAGACTGTGTAGCAATAATCAATATTTTCTTACATTTTAGCATATTAAGTATATTTTTAACTATTTCCTGCCGATATTATACAGTGATGTTATATCAAAATACCAACTTATGATTGTAAATTAGACGTACATTTGATTTTCATTACATAACTTAATTTGGATACAATTCTTTTTCATTACACTTTGCTATATTTATTATGCTGGCCAGACACCGTCAATTTAAACATCGCCTTCACCTAGTCACCAACGTTATGTCGTTTGTTTACATACATATGGACCATCAAACTTTATGTTTAATGCCAAATAGATATGTATTTGATAAAAGGATTTAATTTTGGTGCCCATAAGTATTCGTTAATTGATAGTCAGAAGTTTACTTTTAGTCAATGTTGCTTGTTATTCAAAATTGACCACTGCATTACCCGAAACACATGATCTGAATGAAAAACATTGACACCTTTGAGTGTTTTAATGGTTCTCTTCGATTGTTTACACATCATTAGTGTTATATCAGTACTTTAAAATTTTTATTTTACATATCTAGCGGATTCAACGGTTTTTCATTGTAATGTTAATTATTGTTACGTTTATACAAAAAAACTCGATCAGGTTACCTTTCTTCAGTTTTAAAAAGTAAGTTAAGACAAAGAATGGGAAGATAATTTACATACAGTCACGCAAATCTTCAAGAAAACACACGGGAACCATTCGGCACAATATATTACCCGACATCGTCACGGGATCCAAGAGCCTATGACATACATAGTCACTATAAAAGATTTTCTTTCCTACACAAATATTAAAGTTTATTGCGTTGTATCCGACCCCCAACACTTCGTCCACAACCGTTTTACTTCTATTTCCACTTTGGAAAAAGGATGTAGAAAAAAAGTTATCATTATCCATGCCATTAACTTTAAAGAAAACTTCCACTTGAGTAAAATTTCTTTATAATACTATCATAGAAATATATTTTTTTCATAATAATCATTCGGTTGGATTAACAAGTTGTTACCTACAAAATTACTTATTGTTGGCCTTTGAATTCTTGATTACCATTCTGTCATGCATTTGTTGTGGCACCCAAATGTATTCTTACATTATGATTAGGATATTGTCGTTTGATATATCTTAATGAAAATTTAACAATTATTTACGCTTTTACCATTTTTACCCTTCCGTGCGAAAATGCGACAATTGCAAACTGACGTTTTTAAATGAAAACCATATACTTTTCTCAGTGATTATGGTAAATATCAGGTACTGTTCTCTTCTCCAGAAATTGAGCTCACAATAAATATAAAAAGCGTGAATATTTGAAAATAATGCATATTCCTTGAATCATGTATTATCTAAAAGTTGAAATAAACCAATTTTGACTTGATTGCATAAACAGTTAATCTAAAAACAAGTTTAACTCTAGTTACTTTACGATTAAATGACCTTTATTACCTTTGTACATAAAATGCATAAAAATAATTCGACTTTTGCTACCCTAATCCATGCCCTTGCTTATAGAAACTCTACCATCATTTACAGTGCTTTGATTTGTTTTGTTAAGTACGCCATAAAACTGTTTATTCGCTCTTCCGAAGCGTTTGTACTTCAATAGTATATAATTGTAAATTAAATTGTTGAAGCAAAAACGAAATGTGTATTTCTTAATAACCGATATGAATATCTAGCAAAATTGTTAATCTTTACATTACACCGGATAATGTTTTCATTGTTTTTTATAACTGATAATCTTAAAACGAAGGTTCCCGGCAGGCAATATTTACGTGAGTTATCGTCTTCTTTCTATGTTTCTTATTTTAAAACCAATCGGGCGAGAAACACTTAAGATGTATAATTGTTTTGGTATATACATACATGAACATACTTGTATTTTACTACACGGTATAGTAGTAGCAAATATGACTTAGATGTTACACACAATATATACATGTAGCGTAGTTAACTACTGTGGGAAATAGTGTTGTTCTTTAATTCTTATTTCAGCTCTTCAATATATAACGCCACACTTATTACAATATTTAGTAGACTACGCAACATATACCACAGTAACTTCAAAAAACCATTGGATAATTAGAATGTCCATAAACAAAGTTTTAGAAACAGCAAAGAACAACTTAACATTTGAGATTCGTTTCATGTCACCTTTCACCTTACGTAGTCTAGTTTGAAATCCAATGTTAAGGAAAATATGAATATAAGTTCAGCCATGCGCTACGTATCACAGACAAAAACAAATCTTTATAAAAACTCGTTTTCAATTATTTTGTACGTCTATAATATTATGTTGCATCTTGTCTAGGTTTAATTTTATAACATATTACCGCTTCAATAGATTTTCTTACATATCTGGAGTATTTAAAAAGAAAATGTAGGTTTAGGTACATGTAAGAAATATAGGTAAAACATAGATTATGTATTTATATGTCAGAGGAAATTTATTGGGAAAGAAGTATAATTCTTTGCCCATTCTATTCTCGCATAAGATCACAAATAAAAATAAGTGAATATAAATAAATAAATTCAACGATATAATAAAATTGACATTGAAACATTTGATAATTAATATAAGTCAAAATATTGTCAAGGTTTATACAGAAATTTTATGTTAAACTTCTTTTTAATGTCATGCAAAGATGTTATTTTGTTACTTTTGTTATTATACACCGCGTTTCATGTTCGGTTCATGTACTTTTAAATGTTAACTTTAAGCCGCTACAAATTTATATTACATTGTAGTTAAGATCCGTGACATAACACTGAAATTTATATGAAGTACATGCTGCTATGATCATGCATTTAACACATAATTACTTCCGTAACTTACAGATGCATAATTTCATACAATTCGCCTGTTGTGGATTCACCTTTAGTGATTGATAGTATTATGGCATCTGATGTACCATCAAGTGAAAATATCATGAACAAATTTATACCACTAAATGAAAAAGACATAATCAAACTTGTGAGTGAATCAAAGTCAACAACATGTGAGTTGGACGTTATGCCAACACCAAAGCTGAAAGAAAATCTTCATTTGCTTGCACCTGTTGTGACAGAAATCGTGAATCGGTCATTGTCGTCTGGTGTTTTTCCTGAGACGTGGAAGAGCGCTGTTATTAAGCCCCTTTTTTGAAAAAGAAAGGCCTTCCCTTAGAATTGAAAAAAACTATCGGCCTGTATCAAACCTGTCATTCTTTGTCGAAAATTCTTGAAAAAGCTGCAATGAACCAAATTTCAAGCCACATTGAGATCCAACAATTTGTAACCATCTTTCCAAAGTGCATACCGTACATTTCACAGTGTTGAGTCTGCTATGATGAAAAAATGTACAGTGATCTGCTAGAAACAGCTGATAGCCGCCATGTGACAATAGTTGTAATGATTGATTTAAGCGCCGCCTTCGATACTATCGATATTACAATATTACTTGAAATCCTACAGAAAGACTTTGCCAAACAGGGTATTCCATTAAAGTGGATCGAATCTTATTTTAACCAACAGAGATATGAAAGTTGTCATTGAACAGTCCTCATCGGATACTGAACCACTGAGGTTCGGGGTTTTCCCCTGGGTTCTTGTGCTGGACCGGTGATATTTACTCTCTATATAGCTGCCCTTAACAAAATAGTCCAGAAAATATCCGGCGGATTTGTATGGAGTATGCAGACGATCATAAAGTGGCATTTAAAATTAGAGCTGGTGACCATCACAGCGAAGAAATCGTTCGCTAAAAACTCACTGACTGTCTTAATGATATTGTGTCATGGATGACTAGATTTAAGTTAAAAATGAAACACTAGCAAAACAGAAATCATCATTTATGGTACAAAGACATCAGCTGAAGAAATTAACATTTCCAGTGTCAATGTTGGTGGGGTCGAAAGTCAACTGTGTTGACAATGTGAGAGACCTTGGAGTAACAGATGACCAGCACTTTAAGTTTTGACATACATATTCAAAAGAAGTGTCAGAATTGCCCACATGCAGTTAAGAAAAATTTGAAAAGCAATCAGAAAACATCTCACTCAGAAATCTGCAGAAATCCTTGTTCACGGTTTGATTCATTCACATTTAGACTTTTGCAATGGATTATCGCTGATATTCGCTTGATAAATTACAACGTGTGCAGATTATGCTTCTAGAATTGTCACTGGAGCTGCTTTCTATCAATCCAGTGCTTGAAATTCTTTAAATCACTCCCCTGGCTTCCAATTCCAGCAAGAATCATGTACAAAATTATTGTGACTGTGTTTTCGTGTTGCAAATGGCACCGCTCATTGTATCTTCGTAAATTGTTCACTAAAATGCCAGAGTCAGTACAGGAAAAGACTGGAGATCCTCATCATCTAGCCACATTCGGTTTTGATATACCATCAAACAAATTCAAAACTTGCTTATAGATCCTGTGCCACTGTGGGACCTAAATGGTGGAATTCATTGCCAGACTATCTGAAGGACATTACCAATGAAAATCAGTTTAAGGCCAAACTTAAAACATACTTGTTTGGACTGTTTTTCAACTAGAGTTGTAGATTGGCTGTGCCATCGAGACTGGGTTTGGGAGTGTCTTGATCAAGCATATGTGTATATAGTCTTAATAATGTACAGCGCAATCGAATATTTAATACATTTTTGCGCTATATAAATGTCTTGTATTTGTATTTGTGCTAGTAGAAGTTATTTTGTTACTTATGTTATCATACATCGCGTTTCATGTTCAGTTCATGTACTTTTAAATGTTAAATTTAAGCCGCTACGAATTTATATTACATTGTAGTTAAGATCCGTGACATAACACTGAAATTTATATGAAGTACATGCTGCTATGATCATGCATTTAACACATATTTACTTCCGCAACTTACAGATGCATACTTTCATACAATTTGGTTTGTGCTTGTAGAAATATGCCGAAAGAGAAAGCAAAAAAGAATGACAGACATGAAACAAAAACAGAACAAGTCATGGACACGGGATATGCGTGGATAATATTGTAAGGTTAACTATAGAAATATTATTACATAAAAACATTTACCTGTCCGACCAGACACACCTTGTCTTTATCGTTTCTTAAATAAATTAAAAGTATGTTATATTTCTTTTTAAGAAACATATATTCATAAATATTAGTACATGAAGAAACCTTTTCTCTTTTATACACTATTTGCTATTTAAAAGCTGACAATCAAACTAATTGTTTTACATGCCATGTGTTGTAGTTAAATCACATGATGCAAACATTAATTATTTAGTATTAGATACGTATATTTTAGAAATAATTGTTTATAAAATTTATTATTATTATTGGAACTTGGAACACCAAAGCAGAAATAGTATTTCTCAACATAAAACTCATATTTCTATTTTTCAATATTCAATACGTTCTAAGCATTTTACCATTTTTAAAGGAACCTTTGTCTGCATTAATAATTTCAAACCTCTCAGTTAGATGAGCACTGAGCAAAGTTTCTACAATATGCTTAACGATATCATGTATTCAATAGTTGCAGTTAAGTTTAATCATGTAATGCCTTAGATGTTTTTTTAATGGAACAAGATTTTCTATCTTTGTTCTGTAGCAGCATCTCAGTAGTTACAATAAAACTCTAAATTGTAAAGTACAGAACTTAAAAAATTGTAAAAATGAATATATTCTATTGTATACATTACAGATATAAATTATTCGATAAGATTTTGGAACGAAACAGACCAATTTTGCTTTTTACTACAAATCGTCACAGTGATATATACATGTTTATAATTTCTTTAACACCAATAATTACGACTATTTCACAATATTTTAAATCACTTGCTCAAATGCCAAACTGATATATTTAGCGGTAATTAAGAAACAGACTTAATCATTATCTAACGTAACACCTGAATGATAATGTAATGAAAGTAACAGTTAGGTCATTAATGATGAATGATGCCATTTATATGCATATAAATGATGCAGCATTTTTTGGTATACCTATAGGATGTGTTATCATTAACCTGTTTGGGATTGGCTCTTTGAAATCATTTGGTGTGTTGTACACAGAGATGTTGGATCATTTTTCGGCAGGATCTGGAAATACAGCTTGGATAGGCAGCATAACCTGGTTTCTTTTACAGGTCCTTGGTTCGTGATATGTATTTGAAATATCACAATTCTCACATGTTGACTGATAAACAATATTTTGACAATTTCATTTGCTTTTATTTTCTTTTCAAAATTTCAAATTAAAGAAATAATGAGACAAATTTAACAATGAATACGTGTTAAGTATTCGTAATACTAACTTACATACCAGACCAAATACAATAAAAGCCTGTGAACTGCATAGTCTAATATTTTGAAAAATTTATATTCAGCACCATTGGCAAATTGTCTATGCAGAAGATACACCTTCCGATTGGTTTCGCTTGTTGGTGGTACAATGGTCGGATGTGGTTATTTCTTGTCCGGATTTGTATCTCGAATTGAATTCATGTACTTAACCTTCACGATTATTGGTATGTTGAAGATATATTTAATTCAGAACAGAGCGAATTAAGAAATGATGCTGCTAATGGCAAGACTGTATTTCACTTAATTCAAAATGCACGTATTTGATATTGACAATTATTGAGCCTTAGCAGTAAGAATATGCCATGTTTGTACAAATTTACAAAAAACCGTCAATTATCATAACAACTTTGTAAAGCTTACTATTGAATGCTATTTAAACATTGTAATGCTAACAGATGGATTTTATATAAGATATTAGTGTTTACAGTTAAAGGGGAACTATTTATATTAGTTCGACGTGTTTTATGAAACTTGTTTGCTGTTAAATTCTTTTTTTCCAGGTATCGGATATAGTTTGTCATACATCTCGGCTGGCATTATTATCAGCTATTATTTCAAACAAAGACGGACTTTAGCAAATGGCGTTATGGTATCAGCAGGAGGGGTAGCTGCTCTTTCGTTCCCATCCCTTTACAGGTACTTCGTAAATAATTTCATCTGTATTTCTATCCAACGAAAGTGATTTGTCAAATACATCTCTAAACGTTTGTTGTGTTTAACATCGTAAGTATCTATACGTTATCGATACGTTCTCATTACGTCATAAAAAATACTGGCTATATAGCCATTATCTTTCTTGATTACATGATGATTTAATGCTCTAACCTTCAACAACTGCTAAACTGCAAGCACTGTTCGCATGTTTTAGCGGCATTTCTCGGATAATGGCTTTAACGAAGTCCTTGTCAAATATTTTTTAAATTCACAATGAATAAGGTAGTTATATATCTGTGTCTCATATGCATGTTTGTGTATGGATGACACTGACCAAGGACCAATGCTATCAAATAGTTTTAAGATCTGTATTAAGGATAAGAATGACGGCTTGTTCGTACATATATTGTTCTCCCACGAATATGTCTTCATTTCAGGTTTTTAATTAACAAATATGGTCTATCACAAGCATTTTGGGTGATAGGTGCATTCGTTTCAAACATTTGTGTGGCAAGCTGTTTATTCCGAGAGCCAAACAAATCACCCCAAAGCAATTATGCAGAGGCAAGAAAAGAAGACAGTATTTCAGATAAAAACCAGAAAAGATGTTGCAATGTACTTAAGTTAAAAATTCATTTGTTTAAGAACAGACGTTTCACACTGTTAGTAATAGCTTTCACTATCTGTTCATTTAGCCACATTATCAATTACATTTTAATTCCTGCCCATATTAAAACACTTGGGTATAGTAACACTTATATTACGATAGGTGTATCTATAACTGGTGGTGCAGAATTGATCGGAAGGATTGCTGTGGGATGGTTTGCAGACTTGAATATTATTCAAAAGAAATATATATTCGTAGTCTGTATGTTTGTTGGAGGAGTGTTTGCATTGATATCACCACTGTTTGATACTTTTACGTTTATGGCTTTTTACGCCGGAGTTGTGGCAGCGTTTCCCGCTTCTTTCCTTGCCCTTATATCAGTGTTAGCGATTGAAAGAGTGGGCATGGAAAATTTCCCAGCAGCCTTCTCCATAATATTTGTTTTTATGTCAATTACGTCTTTGATATCCCAGCCTATAGCCGGTATGTATAACATATTTATCGGGAACTTTACAAATTTTGACTTTCATAAAACTTTTATACAAATGCTTTCTGTATAACAAATATTTATGTTCACTTATCCTGTAAAAACACTTGAAATCGAGTTTTTACTTAAATTCGTCTAATTATTTTTTCCTTTTTCTTTAATTGTATTACATATTTAATACTTTAAAATATTACACAGCACGGTTCATGATTTATTATTAGTGTGAAATAAGCATTTAAAGGGAGTCCGAAGCCCAAAAGAAACACGTTTAATTGTTAGTTGATATATAAAATAGTTCAAACCACCTATATCTTCTTAATTTAGTTTTGGGTTATTTTTCTTAATTTTCATGTTTTAACTTATATTAAAAAAGCACATATTTTTTATCAGGTTGGATGGCTGATTATTACGGAAGCTGGTATCCTGCATTTATCTTAACCGGTATAATTCAAATTTGTTCTGGTGTTATTATGTTACTAGAACCAGTTGTCATTCGATATGGCATGGGCAAGACCTATTCATTACAAAATGTTGATAATGAATTGGTATCTCAAGTAAACGGAGCTTATGCACACGATAGAAAAGAAGGTAGTTTGAATAAAACTGATAAAGTGGATGAAACACACTTACCTAAATAGGAAATGTGAATTCAGAAGGAAAAACAAACAAACAAACATATAATGTGAATACAATATATTTACTTTTGTTTGTTTTGACATCATTTATCGTATTATAATTATTAAGTGCAGGACACTTACTTGAAACAAACTAAATACATGTATCAAACACGTTTCGTAAAAATGATTAAACGTGTTATGCGTTCTTTTTGTTAATTGTAGCGATATCGTTTTGAGTGAAATATTTTATATCATTAACATAAATGATTTATAAAAAAATAGAGATTTGTGATTGTAAGTAAGTGATGTTAAACTAACCCAATTATGCCCTCCTCATTTCGACGATGCAATCATGGAGACTGAAAATATGTTTAGAACAATAATATTGATATGAATGGAAAAGTGAAAGTACAAAAAATAACTAATTCAAAGGTTATTATGAGCTACATTTTTGTTAAAAGGACATTAAAACTGTAATTTTTTCAATAACATTTGTGAATTTGAACTTAAATAAATTTGCATAAGCGCAATCTGAGTTCGTGTTTAATATTGTATTAACATTATATTAAGTATAGGTTTCTATTATTAACTTTTATATATTTTGATAAAAACCAAATGTACATTCGAAGTGTTGTATAGTGGTTATGTTGTCTTGTCCTTTATCATATACCTTTGATAAGCAGGATTTATATATTCTTGAAATTGGCGCGAATATATTCTTCCTGTGTTAGATCAATGGAACCTTAAATCATTTTTCTTTAATAATACGTAATTTACAGGACGAAGACTTCGTTTTTACTCTTTGTTTCGCCTTTTACAAAAAATAAAAAAAAGTATTGTCGGTTTCACGACTATGTTACGATGTTTAATTTTGTTTGCTTGCTAGGAATCAGAGAACTAGTCATTAAGTTCAAGGGGAGCGGTGGCCTAGTGGTTAAGGTGCCCGCCTCTCAATCCAGGGATCATGGGTTCGAGTCCTATTCGGGTCACGACCATGTTTCTTCATATGACACCAGTACTGGTTGGTATCAGGAAGCGGATTCGAACGTGATTAATATAAGTTGCAAGAACTTCTTTCGAACTCGAGCTTAAATAAAACATGTATGTTTAAACCAGTTATGTTCATTGCCTCAATCTATTCAGTAATATCGTTTTGACTGACGGATGTTTATGCACAGCAATGATAAACATGGACTATGAAACTATCTGCGTGATGACAAATACACAACCAGTACTTTAAAATATTTTTATTTTATGTTTCTGTGAGAATTTGCTTTCAGCAGATTACATATTTATCAGTGTCATCGGTTTTCGATCACTAGATATTCTTGAAAGATGTAACTCACTTGAAATTATCTACTGTTTTTCAAAAGACTAGTGTTGAAAATCAGATTTCATTTTGTTGGTATCAGTCTCACGTCACTGTGTTTCTTTTATTTATAAGACCTTAAATAATGATTCATAGATATCTGTCCCGTAGAATGTACGTAATATCAATGTTTGCACGAAAACATCGAACCGGTTTTTGCTTTAGTTTTTTCATTAGTAAAGGAAGTAAAAATAAAGAACGTAGAGGGAGTCTATGCCTCCTTATTTTTGTGTCTCCTGCTATAAGTAGCAACGACATATGACAATGTCCACTCTGTCGTCTGCCTTCCCGTCACAAAACTTATCAGGACTACCCAGGAAATTTCATTAAAACTTAACAGGAATGATCAGTATCAAGTCTTGTTGTACACATAGTCAGCATGTTCCAAATTAAATATCTTTGTTAGAGTTATGGGTTATAGATGTTTTGTATTTTAAAAGTTTGTCCGGACTACTAACATGACTACTTACAGGACTGTACATATAACACGGGTTTTCCGGTTGAATATTTTTGGCTGCAGTATGGTCATTGAATGAAATGATAATTTTTCAGTCGCCTGCTACACAGAAGCTGGAACATGCTTCAACGTAGCCGCGACATAAGGGGAACAAACTTGACAGTCACCTCTCAATACAACTTCTTCAATGGCGACACATGTGGTCATTCTCATACAGCTGCTCAGAGTCTATCACAAAACTAAAAAGGACCGCTGGGCTCAAATTTCAGAGTTGTAACACGAGGACTTTGAGGAGCGGACATAAATATTATTATCCAAAAAATACCACACAATTGAATATCAGTTCGTAGACTTGTATTTTAAAGCTAACTCATTTCGTTTCGTTGTTACATTTATTTATCATTATGTAGTTCGTTTAGCAAATGATCAATGCAAACAAAACAATACGGTATATTACCTAAATTAAGTTCTAGGAGAATAACAAAGCAATATATATAGGACTAATTCGTTTACTTGAAATATTTACACTTAATACTCGTCGAGAGTAATGAGAAAAGGTGAACATTGAGAATAAGTCTTTCAACGTCCCCATTAAAGTTCCATGATAACCGCCATATAAACATCTCAGCGGATGCTCTATATTATGAAAAAATGCCATTTTATGTTAAAAGGCGGTGCTATGGAGCATGGGAGTTGAATTTTCAAGTTAAATTCATGAACAGGCTCAATTAAACCGAGTTTGCAGCAGCTTAAATTTTCTGTTTTGGACGTACCTGAGGGGAAAAAAAAACAAACACACTATTATTAGTTGGTTTGTTGAATTTTAAACACATGTCGGTCATGCATTTATGTTGACGTTAACTTAACCGTCCATATTTGAAAAAATCTAACCGGAAATAACAGATTTCTCCGCAAGTAACTGACTATTGATCCAACATAGTTTCAGAATCAGGCATATAAACATTACAAAATTGATAATAAGTAAGCAATTTAGAAAGTTCAATATGTTTATAATTAAACCGCTTTTTTGAACATTGTTTCTATTATTTATATAATACGTAAAAAACTTCCGCCAGGAATATGCATTTAAGAATAATTAACAGATAACAAATAAATATAGGAGTAAAATTAAGCTGTATGTTAAATGTCTACATTTTAATTGTCGATTTCTAGATACAATATGTTGTTGACTAAGGTGCACATGCTCTGGTCATTAGCTTTTTAATAGAAAGCTCAATTATATCAAATTAAAATAAGCATTGGATACGGTTAAAAACTTATATCTAGTCAGTTTGTTTTCATATTCCCATGAAAATAACATCCTAAGAAAAATGCTTACGGTTTAACAGTGGCAGAAAACAAAAAAAAAAGTTTCTTGTACAATTTAATAAAGTAATACCAATAAAAATTGATATTAATTGACAGGTTTAGTTTCGCGCTAAATAGAAGATTTTTTTTTTTTTCTTGAAACAACCTAAACTATTTTTTCTTTATTTTCTACTATATTAAATGGGTGTAGGTATAAAAAACAAATTGACCACAGGGCTAAGTCAATTCTGCCAACACAAGCATGATTTTGTAGAGGACTTAAAGGTGATGTTACATGCAAAATATATAAACTGTCTTAAGGCATTCTGTTTTTCTCTATTTTAGGCCTCGTACATTTAGAGAAGATTGGTTTTAAGGCATTTGTCCCCCAGGCAGGGGCAAATTTTAGCTCCAATAAAGGCTATTTCTTGTCGGCGTTGGTTAAAAGTTTTGTTAAAGTGCATTTTCTCGGAAACTTTAAATTTTATTTACTTCAAACATGTTATACTTTTAGCCCTGATTAAACTTTTTGATAAAGGGATACTCAGACAAATAAATGACAAAAATATTAAAATTATCTTATGTACTAAAATAACGTTACATGACATTTGTAAAAGTCCAAGCATGCATTTCTGTATGAATTCTATATATTTCTGGTTTGAAGCATAATTATATCTATATAATATTATGTTGAACGAAATTTAGACGCCTACAGAATCGCCGAGTAGTTTTAAAACTAGTTATGTGACTTAAACAAACTCTGGAAGTAACAATTACAGATATTGTAGATGTTGAATGATTTAAACAAAACTATATCATTCATTTGACATGTTATTTAACGTTTCCAGAGTTCCCTGCGACAACTATCGTGAAATCTATCTCGTTTTTACTCAAATTCAATAAGCTGCTTACGTTAAGCACTTGAAACACTTGTGGCATTTTTTTCAATGGAATGCATTTTTTAAGAGTAGGCATATTTATTTCGCATTATTACGCATTTTCTCATATCAGTTATACCCCCATTAAGACTTTGAATTTCTTGTTTAACTTTTAAGCTCACCTGAGCTAGCTCACCTGAGCTAGCTCAGTGTGAACTTTGAGGATCGTTACACTCTGGTGGTCACATTTTTTTTGACTTAATTGTCATCAAACATGGTCAGCATGCTTGTCTAGGTAATTGTTCGGATGAGTTAAATGGGTCAGGTGAGCGATCTACGGCCATCATGGCCCTCTTGTTTGTTTTTTTCAGATTTGAAATGCATGTGTAGGCGGAAAAAATAATCCTGAAAGTATTTTTTTTGTTTCATTATTTTCCTTTGACTTAGAATACTTGCCTTTTTTCAAAAACAGTTGAAGGTAATACTTCAAACCTGTCATGCCCCCTTTTATAAATATTGCTTTTATTTTACTATCCAGCACTGATAAACTGATAAAACTGAAGTACGTTTCACCCAAATTGCTGGACTTAAATCACTTTGTAGCGGTCCACTAGGCAATGCTTCATGCTAAGTATCTAAACTCTTGGCATTGTAGTTTCATTTTTAAAGCATGTTTTAGCTCCTGTGACCTACTACATCAGACTGGGACCATTTATATAATTTTGTAGAAGACCACATACGGATCATTCCTATTTTAAAATCCATCAGGACTGTGGTTAGAAGGAGATGCTATTTAAAGACACTGTGTTCAACCACGGAAGGACCCCAAACAAAACAGGACAGGGCGCAAGACAGAGCACGGACAGGATAATCACTTAAATGATACTGTAAAAAAAATAATAGTTACTGACAAGGAAATAAAGGAAAACAAATAATTGATTAATGAATAGGCCCACATAGTAAAAGGGTACAGGGGAAGGGACACGAAATACGGGGAAGGAAGGGTCAAAATTAAAAAAAAACAAAAAAAAACAAAAAAACAACAACAAAAAAACAACAACAACTAGGGGAAAAAAATATGATAAACAAGATCAACAAGTGAATAACAGATGAGTTCTGGTATACAAAATGTAATGTCTACTGGTAAATAACTTAAACAATATTAAAAAACAAAATCAGCTTTTTACTAAAAACAAACTATACATTCACTGAAAGTTAGGTATAGGTTAAATATTAAAAATAATGTCTCTCTGGGGATAAATATATGAAATTTTATTTCTTCGTGCGATCCTTACTTGATGTATTGATGAGGAAAAGAACAAAAAAATGCAAAAAACCCTATCATATGCTTTATATTTGTAATACTAATTCCCTATTCCAATGTAAAAGTGTAGTCTGAACAGGTTTTGTCACGAGATGTAAAACAAAAAGTACGAATGACTTTATGTTATTTTACGAGAAACGTTCATAAGATTCTGAAAAAAGCTTTGCCATTTCAAGAACATATTCACAGGATCTTAGAAGACTCTCTTTGAAAGATTTACTTTAATATTACACTGGAAAGAAAATAAAGAAATCTGAAGGTGAAGTAATGGTTTCTGAAAATATTTTGACGTATGATAATAAAAATGTCGGAATGAATTATTGATATTTTCTCAGAGAAATAATTAACTTTACTGTTACGTCACAGTGTCTTTACAAATGTACTTTACCAACTAATGACTGTAAAAACAGACGTAAATTTGATTTGGAAACATTATTATATTTGGGTACAAACTGCGCAATATTCATTATGCCCTAAAATTGTTATTGTAGAAAAAATTAGCTTATCGGCATATTTGAGTTGTCCAAAATTCAGCTATATAGCATATAAACAAACTCCTACATACCGGTTGGTTTTACGCCTTTTTGGTCATATATCTAGTCATTGTCCACCTAACCGGCTTCCCTTGATTACTAACCAGAAATTACCGATTCCTCTGCAAGTAACCGACTACTGGTCAAACATGACTCCTGAGTCAGCGATATGAGACAACTGAGCAATGTTCGGAATCAATTGCATCAAAGAAATTTGATCGAGCTCGAGGATTGAACTAGCGACCCCAGAATTAGAAGTTCTTTGCTCTTCATTTTAAGATGAGTCGGCGAAACAGTTAACATTCCAATTAGTATTAGAACAGAAAGCGACAGATCATTAAAACTAGCCACACTTACTTTGTTTTCCGACGCCATCTTTGTTTAAATAACGTCTGACATTTGTCCGCAAAAATTACGTCACGTCGTGGAGCATCATGGGTAATATTATAATGTACAACAGTTTTGCGTATTTGGGTAACCGTGTGGTTAATTTGTCGAATCAATTGTAAAAGCGCGCGGTAACATGCCCCCGATATTTACCACTGTATTTAACATACTGTGGTAAAATATAACCATCGTTTATACAATTGGCTGCAGAATATCAGTTATGGTTAAGATTCAAAGCTGGAGGTATGTAGGGAGGAGATTCATTATAAAAAAAAGGGTTAACAGCAGATTTATTATTTTTACAAACATAAAAGCACATAACAATAAACATCAAATAAAATGTAATCATTTCAAATGGTCCATTAAATCAATATTAAACACTTTTCTTCGAGAAAAATTTCTGACTCTTAGATTATTAGCAAATATTTTATATATTAAACTTATGTTTTAAATGTATGTTTATACGCAGTGAGACAAATTTTACTGATTATCTAAAACGTCATATAAAAGAGATATAGGCACTATTCAACATGTTGATTTTTTTTGTTAAGTGGTTCCAGTATTCCTCACTTGAATACTGTTGAATCACACTTGGCCTGCTTTTTAAATTTGTCTTTTGACGTATTTTCTGTGATATGCAGGCTTCATAACCTCTGACCCCTTTTCAAAATTCCATTTTATTAAGAATTGTTTTCTCGTTTAGGGTACACGCATTGTTTTACTTGGGGACCATATGCCGCTTTTTATGGAATGGTACTTAGTGTCATATTGAAGGTTCCATGATAACCGCCATATGAACACATCTGCGGATGTTTCAAAATTCAAAATTGTACCAGTTTATGATAAATGTTGAATTCTGCTTAAGCCGGTGCTAGGGGCGTGGACGGTAGTTTTCACTTTACAGTACCGTCCATGAAAAGGCTAAATAAACCGAGCCTGCAACATTTTCAATTATGTCGTGTTGGACTTTCAGTCTTAGAGCCTATGAAAGGGACCGGTTTCGTGTTTTATTAAATGTATATCTAACACCATCGTATATCTAACACCATTGTTTTGTAATAGGGTTATAACGTGCATATCCTTTTCTTTTATCTTGTTGTATTTATCATCACCATTCAAGAACATTTTTACACAAATGGATACTTTTTCCATTTCAAGTAATTTACAGTTTCATAATCTGCAGTGAGTTAAGTCAATAATCAGACTTAATTAAACAAACCAGAGATGCGAATATTCAATTTTGGCATAATGTGCCTCCTGCAATGCTTCCTTATTTCTCCTTTGATTCAAAGCTCTGTTCCATCTCAATTGATGTATAGTGAAGTTTTGTGTATCGTTGGTAGAATTTCTATTGTTAAAAAACTATCGCTTAAAAGTGCTGGACTCTTGGATCCCAAGGAACCAGAAAAATATATGAAGTGAAGTACCGGGCTTCCACACAGCACTTGACGCCTGCAGTTGTGATATGGAAACTCGCCAAATTGACAATCCAACCAGAAAGTACTTACAGTGCTTTGATTTCTTTTGATAAATTATGCATGAAACTGTTATTTGTTTTTTTTTCTTTAATAGTAATATAATTCTAAGCACGAACGAACCGCGTATGTTTAAATGTAGTATGAAACAAAACTGTTATCTATACATCACACTGGAAACTGTGTTAATGGTTAGCTATAGGTGATCATAATCTTAAACAAGTTTCTTTGTCGGCAATATTTACGTGAGTTACTTTTTCAGCTATTTATCTCAAATCCGGACCAGGCGATGAAAACATAAGATGTATAATTATTTGAGTATATTAATTCATGAAATGTAAATACATGTGTGTATGTTGAAAGTTTAATCATTTATGACACATTACAGAAATGAATAAGCTGTTATTATTTTATATGTCATTGTAATTGTCATACATAAATGTATTATTCCCTGCGGTCTGGAGACCGCAGGGTATTGGTACGCGTTTAACTTTTGAGGCATGGAGGAGCACGTGACCTGTTTTCGGTACATGGAGGAGCATGTGATCTGTAAACCGTACATGATTGGTTAATTGACATTTTCGAAAACCTAGCTAAATACCGTTTGCCGGTACGTTACGGATTTACCTCTAGGGAATTAGTCCGAATTACACCTATTAAGAACAAAAATCTATTACGTGATATTTCTAATTTTTTATGATTATTTTACCGTTTAAGGTGGAAAAACTTGAATGATGTGTTTGAAAATTATCAATGTTTCTTTAAAATCTAGCTCAAATTTTACAAACAATAAATTGTTTACACTGAAAATCTACAAAATTAAAATATTCGTAGTGGCATCTGCCATAATAAATAGAGATATTTTCTGCGTAAACTTGTGTGTTTATTTTATTCTTTGTTTGCTCGGAATTATTCATAAAATGGTTGGCCTATTTAATCATTTTCTTGAAAAGAAATAATTGTTTTATGTTCTTCAACGGTCACCAGTTCCAAAGACCTTCTTCTATATTGATCGATTATTGTCAAGTATATTTCTGATACAAACGTTTATTTATTCCCCCAACAAAAATGTTGAAAATAGTTCAATGAAATATCTTTATATCATTAAAAATGTTCCCCGCAGGAAACCATTTTACTTGTACAATTATTGACTACTGTGTCATATAATTTGATAATTATTGACTACTGTGTCATATAATTTGATGTGATATTCACCGGCAGATAACATTTTGACCGAGGCGATAGTCAATAATTGTTTTATTATATGAATAGGCTTTAAGAATCTTAAAAAAGTCACAGTAAAAGACAACAACGTTCGACTGATTCGTTGAAGCGTGGGAAAAAGACGCACGCTTACAAAAGTAATTCAAGTTTAAACCCATCATTGTTGTGTAGCCTTTTATTTAAGTAATGATATTCTTATCGAGAAATATGCCATAAAGAACAAAACGCAAAAATTATTTTTAATTTACAGTCTACGATACATGGTCATTGAATATGAGTCTTTATCTATTTTAGAATGGGAAAATCCGATTCAACCAGTGAATATGATACATCACCCAGTGAATGTGATTCTATAAAAAGTTCTGTTGACTACTCTTTTGACCAATGAGATTGCAGCTATATTTAGATCATATGATAATGAAATTTATTACACTCTAAACATGTCAATATATATCAAAGTTCATTCACATCCAGTTTAATATCTGCCACTTTATTTTCTTTTATTTCATTTAAATGATCATGCAATTAACACATATTACTTCTTTTACGGACAGATACATACTTTCATACCATTTGGTTTGTGATTGTAGAAATATGGTGGAACAGAACGCCAGGAAGGATGACAGACATGAAACAAACACAGAACAAGATATGGACTCGGGATATGCGTGGATTATATTGTTAGGTGAAATTATATCTTACCCACTTACATGATCGACCAGTCATAACTTGTCTTGATCGTTTCTTAAATAAATAAACATTTTGTCCATGATAATGATACTTCGTACTTATTCAATTTATATAAAGTTATTCCTTTGTCTGTAATAATGTTAAATAAGGCACTATGATATCTTTTTTTGTAAACAACAAGTTTTTGGGTTCTAACTTCAATATACTCGTATGTTGATACGTGCAATAGAGTAATATATATCTTATTAACGTTATTATAATGATTAGAGCATGGAACACCTAAGCTGTGGAGATACCTTGTATGCCCAACAATCTAAATTTGACAATTTTATGTAATGTAACACAAATCAATTTATTATTTCTCAATTGTATTACACAGCAAAATGATATTATTAACAAAAATGAGCTATAACTATTGTAAGTTACTTACACAGAAAACACTTTATTTTTGTGTCGCCTGCTACAGAGCAGGGAATATATATTTTTTGTCGTCTGTCTGTTTGTCCGTCTGTCTGTCATCTTTTTGTCACAAAACTTGTCTGCATTACTCCTTTAAAACTGCTAATCGAATTTGATTATCGCACTTGTTGCGCATATTTAAAGGGATTTCCGGTTGAATGATTTTGGCTGAGTTATTGTCATTGAATAAACAAACGTTTTGGCCTGTTAATGATTTTGTGTCTCCTGCTACACTGTAGCTGCAACATGCTACAAAGTAGCCGTGTCATATAGGAAACAAAACTGTCTTATCACCTCCCAGTACAACTACTTTATCTACTCACACTGGTCGCTCTTGTTTGATATCATAAAGCAGTTGTAATTAAAACCTTTGGTAAACAGGCTTGAGTGGTACCGAATTTTCAACACTTAATGTGTTGGAATCAGTGATCCCAAAAGACCCGAACAATATATTAACACTAAAGTGTACAATATGAACAGTTATGTCACACTTTAAAACCAGTTCGATTACTTAAAATTACAGACCAAAGGCCATTGAATATTCAGATGTCTCAGGTCAATTTTGCCAATCAATATATTCTATAATAGTAGTTTCAAATATAAGTAGATTCTAAAAAACAGTGACGAATAAAAATTTCACTAACATTGATATGCATACTATTGTTTAGCACCTATCACTAAAATTACTTCAAAATAATTAGAAGTCACAAAACTGTCTGCCAAAAGACCGATATCATTGGCGTGAAATAAGATACAGACTTTTTCACTACCTTAATGTCACCTTTATAAAGAGCATCTAAATGAAATATACAGTTATTTATGTAAAAAAGATAAAATGTATACGTATACATATATAAATATGATTGCAATTTTCTTCTTAAATATAGGAAGTTGCTTAACTTACCTGCTCGGGTTAGGTTCTTTGAAATCATTTGGTGTGTTGTACACAGAGATGTTGGATCATTTCTCGGCAGGATCTGGAAATACAGCTTGGATAGGCAGCATAACCTGGTTTCTTTTACAGGTCCTTGGTTCGTTAAAATTTGTTCAAACTATCACAATTGGACTTGTTCACTGGGAAACAATGTCTGAAATATTCATAATACTATAAACATTCGTTTTATTTATTTTTTTACAATATGTAACAGTATGCAGGAGCTACATTTTATGAAATATTTAAAAAATAGCATTATAGTTTAACAGTAGAATTATATTGTTTCAATAATTTTTGGTCGATTTTTAGATGAGTTGTAACATAGCATACTTCTGTTTTTTATCACACACGAAAATTGTACACAAACAGAATAAAATGCCCCGAAACAAAATGGCACACTCTGCTGTTTTAAGTAGGTTTTATCTGTTTAGAAATGATGTAATGATTTCGTCTTTAAAGCCAATTTACTTTCATATTTCTTTTTATACAAGCATTTTGGTTGTGTAACTTTTAATAAAGCAATTACAGTTTTTGCAGTAGAGATATACATATGTAGCTTTACACTTTAAAGAAAATGATAATTAGAAAAAGTAAACAATAAACACGTGTTATTTATTCGTAAGACTCGCAAACACACAAGATTATATGGAATAATTGTCTATGAACTGCATAGTTGAATATTTGAAAATCTGTTATTCAGCACCGTTGGCAAATTTTCTAAGCAGAAGATACTCCTTCAGAACGGTTTCATTTACTGGTGGTTTAATGGTCGGATGTGGCTATTTTTTGTCCGGATTTGTTACTCGAATAGAACTTATGTACCTAACCTTTATGATGATTGGTATGTTGGAGACACATTTTATTTTTAATAACAACTTGCAAGATTTTATGTTACAATGTTCACAATATTTGATATTGACAAGAATTCTTGTGCAGAACAAATCCATTTAATAGATATTTTTGTGTAAAAATGATAAATTTATATACAAACATGTACATGTCTCTGCATTGAGATTCATTTTCAGGTATCGGATATTGTTTGTCAACCACATGTTCTGCCATAATCATCAGCTTATATTTCAAGAAAAGAAGGACTTTAGCAAATGGCGTTATGTATTCATCCGGAGGGATAGCAGTTCTTTCGTTTCCATCCCTTTACAGGTACTTTGAAAAGAATTAAAACTGTATTTCTAACCAAAAATAGTGCTCTTAGATTGAAACTAACCGACAAAGGTTTTTTCCTTTCTTAACCTCTGTTGTATAATACTTCTTTAATGCAACAGTAAAACCTTTGTATTTGCATTCTGACAACATCATATAAAAATCGATTCTGTACGCCTTATGTCATGAATAATTCTGACTACCGAACCAATCTCTTTTTCAAATTACATAGTTAATTTATAAGTTTCAATTTCAGCAAATACTTTTCTACTCCGACTTCATTCTTCATTTTACGACCTTTCTCAGATATTTGCTTTAACGAGGCCTCTGTCAAACATTAACCATAGTGACGATTATTTAAATAGTTCAAATATCTCTGTCCTAATTAATATGCATATTTATATAGAAACTTATGTATGTTCAGGTATTTCTGGGTGGCCATATACAAAGATCAATATTATCAAACAATGTTATCATCTACATTCAAGTTAATAATTACGACTTTTGAGCAAATAAAAAACAATCTACAATATTTATATATTTCTTTATTTCAGGTTTCTTATTGACAAATATGGTTTGTCACAAGCGTTGTGGGTGATTGGTGCATTCCTTTCAAACATTTGTGTGGCGAGCTTTGTATTTCGGCAGCCAAACAATGTTTTAAATTACCAAAACAAACCACTCCAATCCAACGATGCACAGGTAGAAATTGAAGAAAGCATTTTTCTTAACCTCTCGGACGAAACAAATGATCAACAGAGAAAGCTTATTGAAAGGTGTTGCAATGCACTTAACTTAAATTTTTGTTTGTTTAAAAACAGACGTTTCTCACTGTTAGTACTAGCTTTCACTATCTGTTCATTTGGCCAAACTAATAATTACATTTTAATTCCTGCCCATATAAAAACACTTGGGTATAGTAACACTTACATAACAATAGGTGTATCTATAATTGGTGGTGCAGAATTGATCGGAAGGATTGCTGTGGGATGGTTTGCAGACTTGAATTTTATTCAAAAGAAATATATATTCGTAGTTTGTATGTTTATTGGAGGAGTGTTTGCTTTGATATCACCACTGTTTGATAGTTTTATGTTTATGGCAGTCTATGCCGGAGTCACGGCAGCGTTTCCATCGTCTTTTCTTGCCCTAACGTCAGTATTAGCGATTGAAAGAGTGGGTATGAAAAATTTTGAAGCAGCCTACTCGATCATGTTTGTCTGTATGTCAATTCCGTCTTTGATCTGCCAGCCTATCGCAGGTAGGTATAAAATATTTTCCTGGAACTTATTATCGTAAAGCATCAATTCAAATGTTCCTTTATGATAAATATTTACACATGAAAAGACTGAGGAATTACTTCAGGAGAAAGTGTCGTGTTATTATTTCTTTTCGGTCATGATAAAACATTAATTGTGTCACAAATATAAGATAATGTAAATGGTTCAACACACATATAATTTCGTCCGTTTTTTTTATTTAATCAGGTTGGATGGCAGATTATTACGGAAGCTGGTATCCTGCATTTATCTTGACAGGTATTATTCTAATTTTTGCTGGTGCTATACTTTTGATAGAACCATTTGTCAATCGATATGACATGGGCAAAACCTACTCATTTAAAAATGTTGATAAAGAAATGGCATCTCCAGTAAAAAGGATACATTTGAAAGCTCATAAACAAAACAAAGAGGACAGTGCAATCGAACTATCCTGATATTATCGAAGAAACACACGTTCTTGCATTGGACATATCAATCCCGAAGAAAAAGAATAATATGAATTGAAAACAGAATAAGTTAACTTTGAGTATGTTATATGACTACATGTATTTTATTATCAAATGTGTTGTATATGCATAAATTTTCTTTGGAAACATACTGGCAACATAATGAATGCTAATATCAAACACGTGTCGAAAAAAACGAAAAAACAAACAAAAAGCAATCAGACTAAAGTTCAGATGATGTAGATCTGATGACGACCGTATATGTTTCACCTTTATAATTCGGATCTCCCTTGAAAGCTATTTTAGCCATGCAATCACACTCAGTCTGGTTTTTACAGATTTTTGTGAGAAAAAAAGTTTGAAGTAATTTTTAACAAATTAACCTGAAATTATAGAGTCAATTTTTAATGGGCAAGATTGTATTTCCTGTTTAACTGTCGGCTATATATTTGTTGGAAGAAACATGATTAAACAGAACCTAAATATTAAAAAAAAACTTAACTAAAAAGTGAAAGAACTTCAAAATAAAAAAAACAACAACACATAATAAGAATGAAATCCTTTAGATCTTTAGATTAATTAAAAATAAGCCACATAAACCATTTCAGAAATATTCATTATATCATTTTACTTATTTTAAAATGGTCAACAAGATTCTGCCAAGATTTAAGTTTGTAATTATAAAATGACCAATGAAAATTCTACGAATACTGTTATACCTGTAAATTTTTCGGCAATAAAATTTCACTTTTTTGTTTTGTCTTACGTTGCACAGTAAAGATCATTCAGCTGCAAAGCAGTAGTGTCTTTTTGGATTTTGAAGAAAACGCATGATTTATTGTGGAATGATACGATCTCCTTTGCGAGTCGTCGATAAAAACAAAAGCACAACAACGGATTCACATACATAAGCTTTTCAATTCGTGATCAATGTTTGGTTTTGTTGCAAAGCATTTTGATTTACATTTTTCTCATATAAAACCACAATGTTTTCTAATCTCCGTATACACAAAATGAAATGTGCAACAGTCTATAGTTTACCGATATCTGAAATCGTGGAAACAGGTTAAAATTAATCATACGTATACACCTGTCATCTATAAAATGCAAAGGTAAGTCTTATGACTGAGTGCCCTGTCTCCACCTAAAGGGGAACTATTTCACATTGAACAAAATGCGTTGCTTTTGCATTGGAGTGTAATAAAACATCTGAATGTTTTCAATCTATCCATTAATTTACTGTTAGAAACAATGAAAAACATTTGTTTTGAAGAAATTAATTCAAATGTATATCCTTTAAAGTTTTGTAATTTTTCTTTTTACATGATTTAAATTGTGTTGTGCGGCTTCAAAAAGTTTGTTAGCCGCTTTTATATAGCAAAGAGAGGTCTGATGACTTGATTGGAATTATTTATGATTAAACTATTGATTCTGTTATAGATAATGTACGATACATGTATACCATGTTGTTGCTTGAATTTGATTTTTTATTGTTGGTCATTTGCTTATTAACAATTTATATTGTTTAATTGGGATATTATTCATGTCCAAAACATTAAAGTAAACCATTACGAGCGTGTCTGATCTGTCTAGAATATAAACAAGTTACACGGTGTCGGATTTTCTGGCACAATACGACTGGCACATTGACTAAATCGTACCCGTCATGCCAATTATCAATAATCTAAAAAATATGGTGGTTAAGCTAGGATATTGTATTTACATATACTCGATACTTACTATCACCAGTGTCCTCGTTTGACTATTAGAATATAGAATGATTTAAACATATGTTGTAAAGCTTAAAATAGAACAACATTATATTCTTCAAATTGTCGAATGTAATGTTCCTCTGTGAAATCAATACTTGTTCTTCAATTCTAAAGATGTTGAAAGTCCTCCTGACATCAAAAAATAAAATAAAGAAAACAATAATATTGATCCAAATTTATTTACACGGATAGCTCAAAGGATTTTTTACAAAGTAGGTGCAGCCGTCCTTAAAAACCATTTTACATGAAGAATATAACTACAAGAAACTCATTAATATCTACTTCTGTTGCAGACGCCCTTAATTAAGCCTTGTCATACATCTCACCACCTAATTGTTATAAATACATATATGTAATTTTCAAATTTACTCGACGTATTATTATCAGTCAAAAATCGGAAAAACATAATATCATGGGTAAGAAACTTCTGTTGCCATTTCATGAGATTTCAAAACTCAGATCATAATGGCTCCAAAACCATGAAGGAATCCGAGGAAAATATTGATGGTCTGGCTAAAGAGTCATAAAGTACTCAAGGATCAGACAGATATTGACGTCATATAACCTATACTGCGTTAGTGCAACGTAAAACCCAACCATAAATAATAAACTGACATGTAACCTTCCATTTATAACCTGTAAGGAAATCAAATTTGGACAAAAAAGTGTAAAACAAACATTTTGATTGATATCAACCCCTGCCTTGAAATATCACCATCTTTATCTCTATGAACCGTCATAGTCAAGTTGTTTTTCTTATATGTCGAAACAAGCAAAACATGCAATTGAAAAAAACACAAACAAATGAATATTTTAGAAAACATAAAAAAGAATCATATTGAAGTTTATTTGAATATATACAATAACTATACAAAACATTCGTGCAATAGAACACCAAGAATAACAGAATTTTGATTTAGACAAAACATAACATGACTTAAGTCAAACAAAGTCAGTTTATTATGCTAACTAAAACTCTGGGAATGCGAGGAATTCACCTAAATAGATCACAACAAATCTATGATTTAGTTAATATAATTTATCCCTTTTAGATGAAATAACGAAAATATGCTATGACCCTAAGGGGATATATTTTCTTTCCAAGAGAAAATCGTTATTAACTTGCAATGGAAATTCAGGCAAAATATTCTATTTAGATGGATGCCAACAATGAAAAATGCCAATAAGTATTTATATTTTTTCTTAGTGTTATAACAAATTACCTCTGAAAATGCGACAATTCCGTTGAAAATGATTGAAGTGATTGTCTTCATCGCGTTTCATATTTTATAACAGAGATACAATTGCTGAATTTTATTCAGCAATACTATCGACTATTTGAATTAGTTTCATAACTTTAAAGTACAATATATTCGATGCAGATTTCGAATCAAAACAAAATGTTTTCATCTGTCTTAGTCAGTCTGAATTCACCCGAGTGAAGCTGGCATCGTTTGCTAATGATTTAACAAAATGTTTAGGAGGCCAACTTGATAAAACAATTTTATAACATATATTCATTATCAAATATTTAAAAAACATAACGTATGGAAGTTGTGTGCACAAGAGATTATTACTTTCATTATCGAACAGTGATATATATGTTGCAATGGAACTTGAAATATTTTAAAGGGAATAAAAAAAATGTGCAAAAAGCCATATAATTTATATTTTGATTACACTGTTCACTATTCGAACGTTAAAGTGAAGTATAAACAAGTTTCTTTACAACACGCTGTTAACGTGCCTCTATGTTTAATTTGATTATAGTTCACGAGAAACTTTTATTGGCTTTTTTATTTCAAGCAAAATATCATAGGATCTTTAAAGACTCTCGTAGGAACGCGTTTCTCTTACAATACCCATGTAAGTTAATAAATCAATCTGAAGCTGAAGTAATGGTTTCTGAAATTTTATTCTAGACAAAATGATTCCTTTGGACGGTAAGATGATAAAAATGTCTATATAAATCATCGACATTTTCTAAGAGTGAGAATTTATTAACTATGTCCTGTGGGTGATTCGAAGTTAATTTGATATCATACTGTGATGCTATGTATAAAATATCTTCACAAGGAACTATACCAGCTAATAAATGTAAAACAGACGTACATTTGATTTTTTGTAACATCATTGTATTTGATTACAAATATTATGTAGTGAAACTTTTTATTTGTTATTGAACAAAACAATACTTATCCGCATATCTCTTTTAGCCAAAGTTCCGTTATAAAGCAAATGCTAATCCCGTATGATTTCATATTCAGCGATGAGAGAATTTGTCCATTTATCACTAAGAAATATGACCCTGTCCAATAACTAAGACATTTCTGTCAAACGGATTTCTCTTTCTATCATTATTATTAATTAGTATATAACTATTGCCAGCAATAGAATGTAATGAACATTTGACTGATAACAAATGAACAATAATTAACCTTTGTTTAAAATGTTTGTAACACATTTAGAAAAAAGATACTCATCCTCTTACACTGATGTATAACAGAGTGATATAGGGACTTTTCAAGATTTTCAATTTTTATTATAAATATGTTTGTTTAAAAAATCATTGAAAATAAAGAAAAGATCGGTTTCACATTTTGATTTAACGTACGTGTTTTGTTGCTGTTTCTTTATCTTTACCTAAACTTATGACTTCGTTCAGGTGACGCGTCTGTCACAACCATCATATGCACACATTTTAATCATACCTTTCATTGTAAAAATAATCAAATGCAAGTTCTTGTTTTGAGCTGTCCATAAACATGTATATTAAACAAACCGAATTCACCGACCAAATCAAAATTCAATTTTGCATGAAGTGCCATTTTTTCGTGGCTTCAATTTTATCTGACATGGTACCGTTGAAGTAAATTTCTGTTTTATTACAATTAATGTTTAGCAAAACCTTTGCAGAACAGTAATAAAATGTTTTATGAAACAAACACTCTTATCACCGCATGTGCTCTTACGTTCGAAGGGTCTTTAATAACTTTATCAAGCACGAATGCATCAGGCATGTTCTTAAACAGAGCATGGTTAAATTGCTCAATAGAAATACTACTATTCAATACATCATTATTTTCTGTATCGGTTAGTCTTATGTTTTTCGACAAATTTAGTTAGTGTCGCAAACAGGTACATGAATATTGTTTGTACGAACATTTGTTCAAGCCTCGTTATTGCCTAATTTTGGTATCGCATTATTAATGCCCATTGATTCCGGTTACAGCATCTTGTTAAAAATGCATTTTATTCGCTTTTGAAATATTTCTTTTCATTCTGAATTTAAAAGAATTGTTTGTATTGGCAATATAAAATTATCCAGAATATTAAAATACATGTTGATACTATCAACATGCTCTTGATATGAGCCGCGTCACGACAAAACCAACATAATGGGTTTGCGACCAGCATAGATCCAGACCAGCCTGCGCATCTGCGCAGTCTGATCAGGATCCATGCTGTTCGCTATCAGTTTCTCTACTTGTAATAGGGTTTGTAAGCGAACAGCATGGATCCTGATCAGACTGCGCGGATGCGCAGGCTGGTCTGGATCCATGCTGGTCGCAAACGCATTACATTGGTTTTGTCGTGACACGGCTCATATTTTTATCGAAGAAGTAGAAGAATTTTAGAACACGAATAAAATGGAATAAACTATATTAGCCTAAGGGCATAAATGTAAGTTTTCACAAATGTCATGTTTACCGATGGTTATGCTGGAAATTGGATGCATGCCAAAAAAAAAAAAAAATAAAAAATAAAAATAAAATAAATA